CGCTGACCCACCCGCCCCGGCCCCGCAGGTGCTGGAGGCGCTGCTGCCGCTCGCAGACCTGGAGGAGCGCGTGGTGGCCGCCGTGGACATGATCACGCAGAGCCACGCGGGCCTGGACCGCCGCGCGCTCACCTTCGCCGCGCGCTCCTTCTACCACAAGCTGCGCGCCGCCGAGCAGTACACGCCGCGCGCCACCTACCACGGCAACGTGACGCTGCTGCGCGCCAAGCGGGGCGGCGCGCAGGGCGAGGACCTGGGCGCCGACTACAACCTGTCGCAGGTGTGCGACGGCAAGGTGTCCGTGCACGTCATCGAGGGCGACCACCGCACGCTGTTGGAGGGCAGCGGCCTGGAGGCCATCCTGGCCATCATCCACGGCGCCCTGGCCGAGCCGCGCGTCAGCGTGCGGGAGGGCTAGCCCCGCACCCCGGAGCCCGGGGCCTGCACCCCGGGGGCCGCACCCGGGGGCCGCTAGAAGTAGGACTGAGCCGCCTGCGCTGGCACCTCCCGCACGGCCTCCCGCGGGTGCGGGGCCGGGACCCGCGCCACCGACTCGGAGGCCTCGCTGGTCTGTGAAGAGTCGGCCGGGCCGGAGCCCCAGGCGCCGATTGGATTCTATTTATTGCTCCGCTGGGGAGCCGAGGGCCCGGGCCGGGATGCAGCGGGGCAGCAGGCCGGGCACCCACCTGTCCTCTACTTTTTTCAAGAAACACATTCACGTTGCTGCTCAGATTTTGGAATTTACTATAATTGTCAGTTCAAAGGCGCGTGTCTGGATCGGTCTCATTTTTGCACGGACTCGGGCGTCGGTGACAATAGGGACCCTGCTCTGCGCCCTCTGGCACCAGCGCCCCCTGTCGGCCACACGGCCCGCCAACAGGCACCGCCCACCTGGGGCGTTAGGCGTTGCGGGCAGCGGTGGGCTAGGGTTGGGGGGGACCAGGGGTCTGCTTCCCCGGCACCTGCCCTGCCTCGGAGGCTTTATTTGAAGTCGCCGCTTGAGGCGGGGAACCACATGGCAAAAACCCTCCGAGCCACCCCACACCAGTGACGGCAGAGTGGAGGCCGGGAGGGAGGGGGAAGGGCAGGCGAGCTGCAGTTGGGCGCCAGGAGGGATGCTGGCCACCTGGGCTTCTAGGGCGCGGGGGACCCAGCACTCCTGGTTGGTGCCAGCAGAACCGGGCGTGGCTCGGCCCACAGCTGAGAACCACGGCCACAGCTCGGCTCTACCACGGGTAAGCCACCTCCTCAGCCACGAGGAGGAATGTGGTTCTGGTTTGTGTGCAATTCATGAAAGCAGCATTTCTGGACCTGAGACCTTAAAATCCAAGAGTCCAGAGCAAAAGCCGTTCAGGGTCGTGCCACAGTGACCCCAGGGGAGAGAACAACTCGACACTCGGGTCCCTAAGACCTGGGCGTCACGGGGAGCGGGAGTGACGCCCAGGAGGAGGGAGAAACGGTGTCAGGCCAAGGCTGGTATAAAACATTTCCTCTGGGCACAGCTGCATCAAATCAGAAATGTTAGCAAAAAGCCCTTGATTCCTCAAATACTCAGAAACCACTTCTAACTGGTTAAAGAAGAAATCAATGTGCAAATTAAAGTTTTAAGCTGAAAAGTGTAAAAGCGTGTGGGATTCAGCTGACAGTGCTCAGGGGAAATCTACAGCAGGAGGGAGAGGCGTGTCAAAAAGAAGCCATTTCTCCAACTTTATCCCACCTTAAGAAACTAAAGAAAAAAGACCAAATGAGGCCCAAACGTAGGTATAAGAGGAACTAAAACATCTGAGTAAAAAACGAGTGAAACCAAAACTAGTTCTTTGATTCATTCCCGGTGTTCTGCGTGTTCACACATGTTCTGCGTGAAGACCAATAATTAGACCTTAGGCCAGAGACAGCTGGGTGTAAGGGGAGGGGGGAGGGGAAGGCTGGGAGAGAAATTATATTAGGAATGACAAGTGATATTGCTAAGATCATACACAACTTTATGCTAAACAAATGAGCGAATTCCACAAGATCAAGTAGAGCAGTGTTTCCCAAAGTGTGGTACGGGTACCCCCAGGGGTACAGGAAGAGTTTGGTGGGGATATGCACTGCACCGTGCTTAGCTGCGCCTAATTCTACGTTCTCATGAGTACGAGCGGTACTCAGCGTTAACGAAAATTATAGAAGGGGTGCACATATGTCAAAAGTTTGGGAAACACTGAAACACCGGAATAACCCTGCATCTATTGAAGAAAACCAACTTAACATTTTTCCACAAAAAGAAACACCAAATGAACGGCAAATTCCACCAAAAAATAAAAATAAAAATCTCTTACAGCCTGGCCTGTGTGCGGAGACCCAGGAATCAAGAGGTCACCAGTTCAATTCCCAGTCAGGGCACACGCCCTGGTTTCAGGATCAATTCCCAGCTGATCACATCAGTGTTTCTCTCTCCCTCTCCCTCCCTGTAGTGAACTGTTCTTTTAAGTGCAGCTGAGGTTTGTGTGCTCACCTTCCTGAACTCATAGGTTGTTTGTGTGATTTCTTTTTAGATTCCTTAGCAGTTTCTATGTAGACAATCACACCACACACAGGGGCCTTTTTCTTGTTCCTGTCTGGACACTTTTCTTTTCTCCCCGTGTTGAGCTGGTCAGAGCGGCCGGCGCTGCTGGAGGAAGACAGGAGAGCAGGCATCCCCCCAGCCTCCTAAGAGCGGCACTTCGCCGTCCTCGCCTGATACTGTGGTTTGGGGTTTTGGTTTGTTTTTTGTAGATTCTCTGCCAAGGTTAGAAAGATCCTTTCCTTCTTTATGAGTTTTTTTAGTTTATTTTTTATGCTTCACCAAGTTGTGTGTCACCTTTGCAAGAGGCCGGACTAATCTTCCTAGTTTCCATGTTAGTGTCTGTGCTGCCAGAACAGCACCTTTTTATTTTTAAAAAGTACATTTGTATTGATTTCAGAGAGGAAGGGAGAAGGAGAAAGACACATCAATGAGAGAATCGTGGATCTGCTGCCTCCTGCACGCCCCCTACTGGGGATCGAGCCTGCCACCAGGCGTGTGACCTGGCCAGGAACTCAACCACTGAGCCATGATGGCTGGGCTCCCATCTGTTCCCAATAAAGACCGTCTCCCACACCAGCCGTTCATTCTCCCTACGTGGGAGTTGGGGGGTCCTCAGAGCTGGCCCTCCTGGGAGGAAATGAAAGGAGCCCCTAAAAATTTCGCAAGCGCCCATGTTCTTGGTTCTTATCGGGCAACTTTAAATAAAAATAAAGTTTCTCAAAAGTCGTATGCCCTTGGTCAACTTCTGGGGTCCTGGAACCGCTGCTTTGAACAGTTTGTCATCTTTACGTAAGCAGAGACAGGGCGAGTCCCACGTGAGTGTTTACTCGGGTCACAGGCAGCACGAAGGGCAGCAGGTCGCCATGGAAACCTGTTTGTTCAGGGATGAGCAAGCGGGGGATGGCTGCAGGGTCTTGAAGTCCCAGAACACGGCCATTAATGTTTAATGATCAAAGCCCAGCTCCGCCCGCCGGGTCCTGGGGCTGGAGGAGGGTCAGCATTCCTGAGGCAAACGCCCAGAGGGGCCCAAGGCCAGAGGCCAGCACAGCAACCAGATCAAAGTGGACACAGGAAGGAAGGACATCCTGTCCCTTGTCCTCCAAATGCACTTTCTCTCCACAATGGACCCATTCCGGGCCCCAAGGCATTCTCACCTTTTTAAAAAATTAATTCCTACTGATGTCAAAGATGGAGGGAGGCAGGGAGGGGGAGAGAGACGGAGCCATGGATGGGTTGCCTCCTGTGTGCCCCACCCTGGGATCGAGCCCACAACCAGGCCATGTGCCCAACTGGGAATTGAACCCTGACCTCCTGGCCCTGCTGCCGCTGATCCTTTTACAGTGGCTTTTATAAATGTATCATTGTTATTGATTTCAGAGGGAAGGAAGAGGGAGTGAGATAGAAACATCAATGATGAGAATCATCCATCCCCTGACACACACACACACACACACACACTCCACTGGGGATCAAGCCCACAACCCGGGCCTATGCCCTTGCCCAGAATTGAACCCGGGGCCCTTCCGTCCACAGGTCGACGCTCTACCCACTGAGCCAAACCAGCCAGGGATACGGCGGCTTCCCGGGCCGGGGCCCCCTCCCCCCGCTCCTCGGAGGCAGAACCGAACCCCGGGGTTCTGTTCCCATGGGCACCGCGGCAAGTTCCGGGGCTGCTCTCCCCTCTCGCTGGAGGCAGCGCCGTCATGCTGACCCTCAACCCCTAACCCCTGACCCGGACCCCTAACCCTGATTCTGATCCCGACCTCGGTCACGGCCACGCAGGAGCTGGGGCCTCGGGCCATCAGGGACCTGGGAAGAGACCAGGCTGGGCGGCCTTCGCTTTGGGGGCGCGGGGTGAGGAGGCGGAACCGGGGCGCAGGGATCGGTGGGGAGACGGGGGTAGGAGGGACCAGGCTCTGGGACCACGTGCTCGGACCCGGTCCTAGCGCAAGGCCGAGCCAACCTCTGGCCTCTGACCTCCGACCCCGTTCGGGCCCTCGTCGCGTGCGGGCCTCTTCCCGGCCGGGCTCGGTTTCCAGGGGGGCGCATTTCCGGTTGCACCGCGGGCCGCCCGGACCGCCCTGGCGGAGGCACCTTCCGGCGGCCCCGGCGCGGAGCCCTGGGCTCGGCTGCGCCCCTGCGCGAGCCCCGAGCCCGCCCGCCGCCCCGAGGACCCGCCCGAGCCCAGCAGGTGCGCTGCCCGCGCGAGGCCGCCGGCCCGTCACCGACGCGCGGGCGCCGCAGCCGGCTCCGGGGCAGCGGCGTCCGGTCGGTCCGGGGCGGGGAGCGAGCGGCCCCTCCCGGGGAGCCGGGGGCGCCGCACCGGAGCTCCCTGTGCCCGGCCCGGCCTCCGGCGCCGAGGGCTGGGCGGGCGCCGGGCCCGGTCCCCAGGGCACCCCCCGGGGGTCCTCCCTCCGGTGCTGAGCCCCCGTCCCCCGCAGGGTGCAGAGAGGAGATGCCGAAGCTGCAGGGCTTCGAGTTCTGGAGCCGCACCCTGGGCGGGGCCCGCCACGTGGTGGCCCCCATGGTGGACCAGAGCGAGCTGGCCTGGAGGCTGCTGAGCCGCCGCCACGGCGCCCAGCTCTGCTACACCCCCATGCTGCACGCCCAGGTCTTCGTCCGCGACGCCAACTACCGCAAGGAGAACCTGTACTGCGAGGTGTGCCCCGAGGACCGGCCCCTCATTGTGCAGGTGCGGGCCGGGGCGTCCTGCATCCCCGGGAGCCCCCTGCGAGCACCCTGCACCCCTGCGAGCACCCCGCACCCCCGGGAGCCGCCTGCTCCCAGCTCAGTGGAGCCGGGCGGGAGGGTCCCGGGGAAGCCGGGCCCACCTGCAGCTCCTCAGAGCTTGGCCCCGCCCGGGAGCTGCTTGCTCAGACCTTGGCGAACGGACAGCGGGTCCCTCATGCTGCCCTTCCTCAGAACGAGGAGAAAGAATGGCCCTGGCCTTTCAGTCCAGAGAAATCCTGGGAACCTGAGGCGGGGGGGGGGGGGGGGGGGAGCTGGTTTGTGTCCCCCCTCTGTGGTTTTGGAAGCACTTAGGCAGGAGGCCCCCCTGAACCCTATAGTCAACCCTGGGACCCCAGGTGCACCCTGTGGGCAGCCAAGGGCCAGGCCGGCTCCGGTTCCCGGTGACGGTCCGTCTCCCCCAGTTCTGTGCCAACGACCCGGAGGTGTTTGTCCAGGCGGCGCTCCTGGCTCAGGACTACTGTGACGCCATCGACCTGAATCTGGGCTGCCCGCAGATGATAGCCAAGCGGGGTGAGTGGCCTGGGGCCGGCTGTGGGCGCTCAGCAGCCCCTCATCCCCGAGGGCCCGGGCCGTGGACGGCTCCCGGGTGAGCGCGTGTTGCTGCTGCGGTCCCAGCGGCCGCTCTTCCTCGTGGGGCCTGGGAGCTGCCGGTGGTCAGAGGCCGTGGGGCCGGGCAAACAGAGCCACCGAGTCTGACGCCGAGAAACCACTCAGTGGCCGTCTCCCGGGAGACACCCCAGGGAGCCCCGGCCCACGGGGTCAGAGGGTGCGCAGCCCGTGCAGGGCGCTCGGGCCAGCCTGCGGGAGGAGGGGGACGAGGACCACGTTTGTCACTGCAGGTCACTACGGCGCCTTCCTGCAGGAGGAGTGGGACCTGCTCCAGAGAATGAGTGAGTTGGCGCATGTGGGTGGCGGGCGTGCGTGTGTGGGTGACAGGTGGGGTGTGTGTAGGTGACAGGCTGTGTGTGGGTGACGGGCCGCGTGTGGGTGGCGGGCAGGCGTCTGTGGGTGACAGGTGGGGTGTGTGTGGGTGACGGGCTGTGTGTGGGTGACGGGCCGCGTGTGGGCTGCGTGTGGGTGACGGGTGGGCTGTGTGTGGGTGGGTGGGGGAAGGAGAGGACAGTGGCCAGCAGAACCTGGGGCCAGAGCGCTCCTGGCTGTGGGCCTCAGCCTGGCTTGTGCAGGGTGGTCTTGTGCCTGTGTCGGGTAGCCACCCCCTGCACTGGGCTGTGCTGCTTTGGGGCTTAGTGGGGGGTCCCCACCGCCGACCAAGGGGGAGCCCCCGGTTCTCAGAAGCCCCTCCTTCCGCAGTTCAGCTTGCCCACGAGAAGCTTTCTGTCCCGGTCACGTGCAAGATCCGGGTCTTCCCCGAGATTGACAAGACCGTGAGGTACGCCCAGATGCTGGAGGAGGCCGGCTGCCAGGTGAGGGGCCGGCCTGCTCCCAGGGCGTCCAGGAGCGCTCACCTCTGGGGCGATAGGAGTCAGAGACCTAGAGGGGCCTGTGAGGGCGGCTGCCTCGACCCTGGTGGCACCGCAGGGCATCCGCGGGCCCGAGTGCCACCGGGCGGGGCGGGGGCCGGGGCTGTGAGCCCCTGCGTGGCGCTGAGCCAGCCGCTGTGTCCTAGCTGCTGACGGTGCACGGGCGCACCAAGGAGCAGAAGGGGCCTCTGACGGGCACCGCCTCCTGGGGACACATCCGGGCCGTGCGGTGAGTGGGGCGCCCTCAGCCTCTGGGCGGCGGATGGAGCGGGGTGGGTGCTGCCCGCTGAGTGCCCTGCGCCCGCAGGAAGGCCGTGACCATCCCTGTGTTTGCCAACGGGAACATCCAGTGCCTGCAGGACGTGGAGCGCTGCCTGCGGGATACGGGGGCTCAGGGGGTCATGAGCGCAGGTGAGGCCGCCCGCCTCCGCCGGCGTCCCGGCCTGGCCCGCTGCCTCGTGGCCGAGCCGGCGACAGCCTTGCCGTGGTGCGACGGGCAGGGGTGGGTCCCTCTGGGGTCATGGGCACCCTGAGCCGAGCCCCCTCGCCCTCCCGCAGAGGGCAACCTGCACAACCCCGCGCTGTTCGAGGGCCGCAGCCCTGCCGTGTGGGAGCTGGCCGAGGAGTACCTGGACCTGGTGCGCCAGCACCCCTGCCCGCTGTCCTGCGTCCGGGCCCACCTCTTCAAGCTGTGGCACCACACGTGAGTGGGCTCCCCCCCCCCCCCCGGGCACTGGGGGTTTCACGGCGAGGCGAGGTCTCTGTGGTTGGCCTCCCAACCAGGCCTAGAGGCTGGGAGTAGGGAGGCAGCCGGGGGGGAGAGCAGCTCCCGCCCCAGGGCTCGGCGGAGGGGGGCGGCCGCTGACGGCATCTGTCCCAGGCTGCAGGTGCACCAGCAGCTTCGCGAGGAGCTGGCCAAGGCGAAGACCCTGGAGGGCGTGGCCGCCGTGAGCCGGGAGCTGAGGCTGCGGTGCCAGGCAGGTGCAGGGCGGGAGCCCCGGGGCCTCGGGCTGGCTGGCGAGCTGGCGGTGACGGGACCCTGCCTTTTGCAGGAGGACATGTCCCGGCTGGAGGGGGAGGAGCCCACGGGTGGCCTGCCTTTCTTCCACTGGATCTGCCAGGCCTACTTCCGGCCCGGGTGAGCACGTGGGCGCCGGCGGGCGGGCACGGGGCCCAGAGGGCACAGCTCGCTCTGCCCCGTCCTCCTAGGTGTCCAGCGGCTCCCCTCTCATGGACGCCTAGGTTTACGTCTTTCCTTCTTCCCCTGTGGTCCCGCCTGTGGCCGCAGCCCTGCCTGGCCTCAGAGGTCAGACCCGAGTCCGGTGCCCTGGCTCCTCACTGGCCCGGCAAGCAGCTGAGCGCCCTGCCCGGCCCTTCCTTCCAGGCCCAAGGAGGGGAGCAGGGAGAGCACGGGCGCCCGCAGCAAGCGCGCCCTGGAGGAGGAGGAGGGGGGCGCCGACGTCCTGTCCAAGAACAAGCAGAAGAAGCAGCTGAGGAACCCCCACAAGACCTTCGACCCCTCGCTGAAGCGTAAGCCACAGCAGCCGCCACCCCGAGGCAGCCGGAGAGGCTGAGGGGCCGGGAGGCCAGCCATGGCCGCAGCATCTGAGCCCTGGGGTTCTAGGCACCAAGTCTGCATGTCGGTGGCCACAGCGAGCAGGGAGACCCACCAGCTCTGTGTGGGGACCGGGGCTGCTCACCTGGCTCACCAGGACCCCCTTGTGCTCTTTTCCCAGCAAAATACGCAAAGTGCGACCAGTGTGGGAACCCCAAGGTGAGCTGCCCTCTGCAGGGCTGCCCGGGGCTTGGCCTGGGGGCGTGGGCAGCGTGGCCGCTGCTCACCCTCCATCTGCAGGGGCCCCGCTCGGCACAGGCACTCGCTCACTAGCTTTCCCGTGCCCAGGGCGCCCGGTGTGTGTTCAGCCTGTGCCGGGGCTGCTGCAAGAAGCGAGCGTTCAAAGAGACCGCGGACTGCCCAGGTGAGGGCGCTGCTCCCCACCCTGCCCCGGCCCCTGGGCAGGGGGCCCCGACCTGAGCCCCATTTCCTCCCCACCCTCTCCAGGTCACGGACTGCTTTTTAAAACCAAACTGGAGAAGTCGCTGGCCTGGAAGGGGGCCCAGCCCCAGCTGCAGGAGCCCCCACAGGCAGGCCCTGGGGACCCTGGCGGCTTCCCCGAGGTGCTGGGCAGTGCCCTGGCCTGAGGGCGACAGAGGCTGCCGCCCGCCCGCCCGCCCACCGGGCTCAGGACTGTGCGAAGCCCCCACCCCTAAGGAGAGCCTCCACTCAGGGAACCTCCTGCTCCTCCACAGCCTCGGCCATGTGGGCAGAGCCGCCCCAGCGAGCGCTCCCAGGCTGGACCTGCCTGTCCTCGCCATGCACGCCCTGAAGTGAACAATAAACCTTCGGAGACTGCACAGTGACCCTGGCCATTGTGCTCGAGCTCAGGCCCCTGGGGGGAGGCGATCTCGAATCGAGGGAAGCGGCAGAACCTCCTGCCTCCAGCCTCGTCAGCCAGAGGCCGCCCTAGACCAGGGCCCTCCGGGGGGTGGGCACAGGCTGGCCCTCTGCTGCCGGGATGCAAGGAGCCAGGGAATGAGGCCTAGGACACCCCCAGCCCCAGCCCAACCCAAAGAGCCGACGCAGAAAAGTCAGAGGAGGTGCTTTAATGGACTGAGGTTCACAACGATCTCGCCCCACGTGTGAGAGCAGGAGGCCGAGGCCTTGCCTCAGACCCCCTCCTCGGGGCGGCAGGGGGCCGGGGCAGGGCGGGCGCGGGCGGCCGCTCACATGTTGGTGCTCATCCGGGACTGGCTGTTGGCCGGCGTCAGCTCCCCCTGGCTCCCTTCCCGCGGAGGGGACTGCGGGAGACAGGCCGTTGGCCCGGTGTGTGTGCCCGGCCGAGCCGCCCGCCCGCCCGCCAGGCCCACCCTCACCTTGACGTGGATCTGGTTGCGCAGCACGGCCGCCCGCAGGATCATGGCCTTGGCGCGGCGCTGGAACTCCTTGCCCATGAGCAGGGACTTCTCGAAGGTGGTGCTGCGCTGGTCCACGTCGCGGGCGTGCAGGATCTGCAGGGCCGTGCGGGTCAGCAGGACCAGACCCCGCCCCCCCTGGCTCCAGCGCCACCTTCCCTCGCGGCCACCTCGCTGGGGACGGCCCGCCGGGGGGGGGCACCTTGCTGTGGGAGTCGATGCGGGCGTTGATGAGCCCCTCCAGGATGAGCTGCGTCAGCTCGTCCTCCAGAGCGGCCACGGTGGTGTTGAAGGCAGTGGCCATCCGGCGCATGTCGGCAGACACGTAGGGGCTGAAATACTGCAGAGCAGGTGGCATCACTGCCCGCATGCCCTCCCCCACCTACCTGGATGAGGGCGCTCCCCCTCCCCCACCTACCTGGATGAGGGCGCCCCCCCTTCCCCCACCTGCCTGGATGAGGGCGCCCCCGCTCCCCCACCTGCCTGGATGAGGGCGCCCCCGCTCCCCCACCTGCCTGGATGAGGGCGCCCCCCTTCCCCCACCTACCTGGATGAGGGCGCCCCCCCTTCCCCCACCTGCCTGGATGAGGGCGCCCCCGCTCCCCCACCTGCCTGGATGAGGGCGCCCCCCCCTTCCCCCACCTGCCTGGATGAGGGCACCCCCGCTCCCCCACCTGCCTGGATGAGGGCGCCCCCCCTTCCCCCACCTGCCTGGATGAGGGCGCCCCCGCTCCCCCACCTGCCTGGATGAGGGCGCCCCTCCTTCCCCCACCTGCCTGGATGAGGGCACCCCCGCTCCCCCACCTGCCTGGATGAGGGCACCCCCGCTCCCCCACCTGCCTGGATGAGGGCGCCCCCCTTCCCCCACCTACCTGGATGAGGGCGCCCCCGCTCCCCCACCTGCCTGGATGAGGGCGCCCCCCCTTCCCCCACCTGCCTGGATGAGGGCGCCCCCGCTCCCCCACCTACCTGGATGAGGGCGCGGTTGCGGATCTGGGTGTACAGGGTCCGCACGTGGGGAGCCAGGTACATGTCCAGGAGCAGGTTGTCCTGACGAGAAAGCAGTCAGGCGCTGCGGCCCCAGCTCCACACACACCCCCCACACCCCACGCACACACACCCTCACCCTCCGCAGCCTCACCTTCATCTCGTCCAGCATCTTCAGGCACGAGGCGTACTTGGACTCGTAGAACTTGAAGATGATGTCGCGGACCTGGGGCTCCAGCTCCAGGAACAGCTTGAAGGAGCTGCAGGGTCCACACTCCTCAGGGCCGCCCTGAGCCCCCCGCCCCCGCCCCCGCCCTCTACCTGCACCCGAGGGTGGCGGCCAGGGGCACGGGCCCGCGCCCCACCTGCTGGAGATGACGTTGCGCTGCAGCTCCTGCCGGTCGAAGGTGGCCAAGGCGCAGAGGCCGCCGTACACGGCCACGTTACTGGGGGACAGCAGCTGCGGGGAGAGGGCACGGCCGTCCGACGAAGGCCAGGCGGACCCCCCAACGCCTCTGGGGGACCCCCAACCAGGAGCCTCTCCCTCCACGCCCTCGAGGCCGTGGCGCCTCACCTCGGGGAAGTCGCAGTGGTCGAAGGAGGCCAGCAGGAAGCACTTGGCCGCCTGCTTGTACTTGCGCGCGGCCAGCTCGGCCAGCCCTGGCGGGAGGGCGGGAGGCAGCGTGAGGCCTCGGACAGCTCTGCCATCGAGGTGAGCGACTGCCCAGAACACCCTCAGGGCCCTTCCGCGGGCCGGGTGCCCAGAACACCCTCAGGGCCCTTCCGCGGGCCGGGTGCCCAGAACACCCTCAGGGCCCTTCTTCGGGCCGGGCGCCCAGAACACCCTCAGGGCCCTTCTGCGAGCTGGGTGCTGAGAACACCCTCAGGGCCCTTCCGCGGGCTGGGTGCTGAGAACACCCTCAGGGCCCTTCCCCAGGCCAGGTGCCGAGAAGCCACACAGCTGCAGGGGACAGCAGCCGTCAGAGGCGATGCCTGCACTGCTGACCGCTGGTCACACTGCCTGGGCCCCTAAGCGGGAGGCGCGCCCAAGAGTCTGCCCAACTGTGAGGGCCCAGCACAAGCGCAGGGGCTGCGGGTGGGGTGCGGGGCGCCCGCCCGGCCCGGCCCGGCCCCGCCTCACCTGCGGCACACTTGAGCTTGGTGAGGATGGCCTGGGTCTGGCTGTCGCGCTCCCCTCGCTGCTGCAGGAGAAGGCGGCACACGTGAGACACTTGTGCCCTCCACACCCTCCCCACGGCCAGGCCGACCCCCAGCCCACGGCGGCAGTGGTGGGAGGGGGGCGAGGCCTGGTTACCTCTGCAATCTCGGGAGTGGACTCGGCCTTGCTGACGTAGCTCAGCACGTGAGACCAATTCTGCAAGTAGACGCTGACCTGGAAGGCAGGGGCGCCTCAGCCTGGGCCCCGGCCCCCCACCCAGGGCGCCCCCTGCGCCCGCGCACCTTGATGACGTTGAGGCACATGTTGATGACGTGCTTGGCGCTCGTGCAGTAGTCCCGGGCCCGGGAGTAACACTTGAGGGCGTTGCTGAGGTCCCCGCAGTCCAGGTAGTGGTCGCCCAGGTCGTCATGGCCGCGCCTGTGGGCGGGCTGTGAGTGCCCGCAGCCCGGTGTGGCCCTGGCACCCCGCCGCCCCTCCCCGTCTCCGTCCCCCTCCTGTCCCCGTCCCCCTCCCCGCCCCCTCCTCGTTCCCATCCCTGTCCCCGTCCCCCTCCCCATCACCATCCCTGTCCCCGTCCCCCTCCCCATCACCATCCCTGTCCCTGCCCACTCCCCGCCCCCTCCCCCCTTCCCGTCTCTGTCCCCCTCCCTGTCCCCATCCTCGTCCCCACCCCCTCCTCGTTCCCCTCCCTGTCCCTGTCCTCGTCCCCCTCCCCCTCCCCATCTCCCTCCCTGTCCTCACCCCACTCCCTGCCCCCGTCCCCGTCCCCATCCTCCTCCTAGCCCCCCTCCCTGTCCTCGTCCCCGTCCCCGTCCCCCCCCTCCCCCTCCCCGTCCCGTGGGGCACCTGATGCTCTCCTTAATGGAGTTGCCCTTGTAGTTCTTCAGGTCCGTGTCCAGCTTCTCCAACTTCAGCAGGGCCTTCTTCCGCGTGGCCTCCACCCAGGCCGTGTCCAGGGGCGGGGGCTCCACGCCGCTCTCCGGGATGGCGTCCGGCGTGCTCTGCAGGTCCCTGAGGGAGGACGGCCAGCAGGGTGAGGTGCCAGCAGGAGGGCACCTCCCAGGAACCCCTGCCCGGCCAGAGCCCGGTGCAGCACCCAGTGGGTAGGGAACACGGACGGCGCGGGGGAGACCAACGGGAGGAGTGGGGTGGCCGTGGGCGCGGAGCCGGAGCAGCTGGTGTCAGGACGGCTGCAGGGACCGCGCGGGCGCAGCCAGCACGGCACCCGGCAGGCCCTGGGCGCCGGCCTCACCTGGTGGCCTCCGAGAGCTTGCGGTGAATCTCCTCGTACACGTCCACGTTGAAGGTCCTCTGCACGAAGGACAGGGCCATCTTCAGGGCCTCCACCCGCAGCGGGGGGCAGTGGTCAGCAATGAACTGCAGCCGCTCGATGCGCATCAGGCCGCTGTAGCTGGCGGCATACTGCTCCAGGTCCTGGGCAGGGGCGGGGGCGGCCGTCAGGGGCAGCGGGCCAGTGCCCGCCCTTCCCCTTCCCCCGTCTGAGAGGCACGCGGGGCCCGTGCAGGAGCCCAGGAGTTGGGGTGGAAGGTCCAACGGACACCCCCGGAGGGCTCCTACCAGGGTGGGGTTCTCCACCACGTAGTTGACATCGGGCGCATTCTGCGGGTCCTCCTGGGGGTCCACGTCGATCTGCATGGGCTCCACCGCCCCCTGCAACAGGCGCCCTGTTACCCAGGCCGGGCCTGCCCGGGGCGGGCGGGGGTCCCTCCCTGTGCCCTGAGCTCACGCTGCCAGCCTCCCGCCTCCGGCTCGGCACCGCCCCGCCCGGAGCGGGGCGGCCCCGCCACCATCCTGGCGCAGCCTCCTCCGCGCGGCCTCCACCCGGAGCATCCCGAGCGGCCGACGCGGCCTCGGCCGGCCCGGCCCGGACGGCACCCCGTGGAGCAGCGTCCAGGCCGACAGGCTGGCGCTCAGGCTGCCGTCCGCCCCACCGCGGGGCGGGGCCCGGGCCGCCCGCATCCCGGCCTGACCGCCCCGCATCCCGGCCTGACCGCCTGGGGAGAGCGTTGGCGGCGGGCCCGCCGCCGTCGCTGGGACGGACCGCGGGGCTGGCGGACACGCGGGCCGCTCGGCCTGGGCCCCGGCTCCGCCGGCGGCGGGGGCGCGAGGGGCCGCCGGCCGCGGCCCGTTACCTGTAAGTTAAACACCTGAACCGGCAGCGGCATCTTCGCCCACCCCGCCGCGGCGCGCCGACCGCTTCCGGGGCAGCGCGGCCTCCGCTTCCGGGTCGCGGCGAGGGCGGGGCGGCCTTAAAGGGGCCGCGGCGCGCCGGGCCGGGCGCTGCGGCGGTCGGGGCCGCATGAGCCGCGCGCGGGGGGCGCTGTGCCGGGCCTGCCTCGCGCTGGCCGCCGCCCTGGCCGCGCTGCTGCTGCTGCCGCTGCCGCTGCCCCGCGCGCCCGCCCCGGCCCGCGCCCCCGCGGCCGCGCCCGCCGCCGGCCCCGCGCGTCGCCTGCGGCCCGAGGACGTCTTCATCGCCGTCAAGACGACGCGCCGGAACCACGGGCCGCGCCTGCGGCTGCTGCTGCGCACCTGGATCTCCCGCGCCCGCCCGCAGGTGCGCCCGCCGCGCCGGCACCCGCCCCCTTCCGCGGACTCGGGGCGCGGCCGGGGAGCTCCCGTGAGTGCCGCGCCCCCTCTCCCCGCCCCACGCCCCTCACAGCCGGTCTCCCCGCTCCCGCAGACCTTCATCTTCACCGACGGGGACGACCCGGACCTGCAGCTCCAGGCGGGTGAGTCTCCCCCCGAGCCGCCCCGGCCAGGGGGTGTCACCTGCTCAGGGTCACTGCCTGGCGGGGGCAGATCCGGCCCTCCCAGCCCGCCCTGCCTCGGGGGCCACCGCCTCCCCGGCCACCGCCTCCCCTGCCACCGCTGGCTCCCAGCCCCACCCTCCCAGTCTCCCACCGTCAGGGCAGTCCCAGCTCAGGCCATTTCCTGGGGGAGGGGGGTCCCGGGTGGGGGCTGGGGAGCCCAGAGGCCAGCAGTGGGTCAGCCCGAGGCCCCACCAGGGCTGTGGGTGGGCCCACTACAGAGCAAGACACTAAACCTGCCACAGCCACTTCCTAAAGAAACCTTTTTTTTGGTTTTGGAGAGGGAGAGGGGGAGAGCTAGAAACATCCACGATGAGAGAGAACCACGGACCAGCTGCCTCCTGCACTCTCCCCTCTGGGGATGGAGCCCGCACCCCAGGCCGTGCCCTGAATGGGAATCGAACTCTGACCTTTGGTTCCCAGGTGGATGCTCTGCCCCTGAGCCAGGATGCCCTCGTGGAGCCCGGCTCTGCCCTCACCCGTCTGTTCCCCCACCAGGCAGCCACGTGGTCAACACCAACTGCTCGGCCGCGCACACCCGCCAGGCGCTGTGCTGCAAGATGGCGGTGGAGTACGACCAGTTCATCGCGTCCGGGCGCAAGTGCGTGGGGCCGCCCTTGGGAGCCGGGCCCTCCGGTGCTCACCCGTGGGAGCCGGGCCCTCCGGTGCCCTCCCGTGGGAGCCGGGCCCTCCGGTGCCCTCCCGTGGGAGCCGGGCCCTCCGGTGCCCTCCCGTGGGAGCCCGGCCCTCCCAGTGCCCGCCCGTGGGAGCCGGGCCCTCCCGCACTCGCCCGTGGGAGCCGGGCCCTCCGGTGCTCACCCGTGGGAGCCGGGCCCTCCCGGTGCCCGCCCGTGGGAGCCGGGCCCTCCCGGTGCCCGCCCGTGGGAGCCGGGCCCTCCCGGTGCCCGCCCGTGGGAGCCGGGCCCTCCCGGTGCTCGCCCGTGGGAGCCGGGCCCTCCCATGGGAGCTGGGCCCTCCCGGTGCTCACCCGTGGGAGCCGGGCCCTCCCATGGGAGCCGGGCCCTCCCGGTGCTCGCCCGTGGGAGCCGGGCCCTCCCGCACTCACTGAGACTGCCCCCCCCAGGTGGTTCTGCCACGTGGACGACGACAACTACGTGAACCCCGAAGGCCTGATGCAGCTGCTTTCCTCCTTCTCGCCCAGCCAGGACGTCTACCTGGGGAGGCCCAGCCTGGACCACCCCATTGAGGCCACGGAGCGGGGCCACGGCGGCGGCACAGTGAGCCGGGCGGGGGGAGCGGGCAGCCGGGGGGACCTGCCCGGAGCGGCCAGCCGGGGGGACCTGCCCGGAGCGGGCAGCCAGGGGGACCTACCTGGAGCGGCCAGCCGGGGGGACCTACCCGGAGCGGCCAGCCGGGGGGACCTGCCCGGAGCGGGCAGCCGGGGGGACCTACCCGGAGCGGCCAGCCGGGGGGACCTGCCCGGAGCGGCCAGCCGGGGGGACCTGCCCGGAGCGGCCAGCCGGGGGGACCTGCCCGGAGCGGCCAGCCGCGGGGACCTGCCCGGAGCGGGCCGCCAGGGGGGACCTGCCCGGAGCGGGCAGCCAGGACGCCGGTGGGAGGCGCTGCCCGGACCAGGCGCTGCGAGGGAGCGGCTTCTGGTGCCCGGGTGTCGGGCAGAGTCGGGGGACACTCGCTCTGACGGGCAGCTCCCTTCCCACAGGTGACCACGGTCAAGTTCTGGTTTGCCACTGGCGGGGCCGGCTTCTGCCTCAGCAGAGGCCTCGCCCTCAAGATGAGCCCGTGGGCCAGGTGAGGGGCCGGTGTGGGGCCAGGTGAGGGGCCAGGTGAGGGACCGGGGAGGGGTTGGGGAGGGGTTGGGGAGGGGCTGGGGTGCTGCCGCCCGGGGAGGGGTGCTGAGGGCGCGTAGGGCTGACCCCGCCCCCTCTCCCCCCACCACTCTCCCTGACCTCCCTCTCCCCGCCCCCTCCCCCACCCCCGCCCCCGCCCCCAGCCTGGGCAGCTTCATGAGCACGGCGGAGCGGGTGCGGCTGCCGGACGACTGCACGGTGGGCTACATCGTGGAGGGGCTGCTGGGCGCCCGCCTGCGGCACAGCCGGCTCTTCCACTCGCACCTGGAGGACCTGCGCCGGCTGCCGCCCCACACGGTGCTCCGGCAGGTGGGGCCCGGGCGGGGCGGGGCGGGGCGGGGCGGGGGCCGGCAGAGCCCTCCCAGGAGCCAGGACGGGGATCGGGAGCGTCGGGGGGTCCAGGTGTTGGGGGCTGGGTTCCCGTGGCGGCCACTGCTGACCGGTGACGGGTCCCAGGCCAGGTCCCGGGACAGTGAGTGGCTGGGGCAGGGGCACAGCTGTCCTCCGGCCCCACCGCTCAGCCGGCACCTTCAGACCAGCCCGGGGGGCGGCGCTGGAGGGGGGCGGGGAGTAAGTCCCTCCCCTCCCTCCAGGTGACCTTGAGCTACGGGGGCCCTGAGAACCCACGGAACGTGGTGGGCGTGGCCGGAGCCTTCAGCCTGCAGCAGGACCCCACGCGGTACGGAGCTCGCGGGGCGCGAGGGGTACCTGGGCCTGAGGAGGCGCTGGGCCCTGACGCCGCGTCCCCTTTCTCAGGTTCAAGTCCGTCCACTGCCTCCTCTACCCAGACACGGACTGGTGTCCTGTGACCTCGCCTCTCAGTGACCCTCGACCCCTGACCCGGGGGGTGGCTGTGGGGTGAAGCCTGCCCCTCCTGGCCCTGAGGAGGGGCTCCAGGCCAGGGTCCCCGTGGGTCCCCGAGGTTTCCCTGCCGGGTTCCTGGGGGAAGGCCCTCCCTGCCCTCAGCTCTGCCAGTGGGCCAGGGGCCAGGGCTGGGCCCGCCAGCCAGGCTCTGGGCGCCTCCTCCTGGAGGACGCGGGCTGGGGGCCCACGGGCAGGCCCTCTGGGTTCCTCGGCCAGACCCCTTCCCGGGGCCTGAGGAGGCCGCTCCTCACTGCCTCAGCCCTCAGCCCCGGTCCGGGCGGGAGACGGGAGCCTTTGTGGGCGCCCCTCCCTCTGGAGGACGCCTGCGCTGCGCTGCCCCCTGCTGTGCCTTCTGGGAGGTGCCCGCCGCTCGCCTCCTGCCTCTCGCTGCGCTGTTGCCAGAAGCGGATAAAAGCCGGATTGTTACTTTGTTTGGCTCCTTGTCTGGATGGAGAGGGAGCGCCTGGCTCCTCCCCGGGACGCCCCGCCCCTGCAGCCCAGCCCGCGGGGCGGCTCTGAGCCGCAGCCCTCTCCAGGCCCTGGGCTCCCGGCCACACGTCTGCGGCCCCTCAGAGCGGGGGCCTCAGGGTCAGGAGGCTGGGGCCCCCCTGGCTCTGCTGGCAGCTTCTCCCCAGGCGTCACCTCACTCGCCCCTGCGGCCTCGGCACTTCCCAGCCCTGGCGCAGGCCTGGCAGAGGGTCTGCCCACAGCCCGTCCGCGCCTCGCACACCGCCTGGGCCCGTCCCCTGGGCGAGCATGTGGAGACCCCACACAGGTCTGGCCCGGGCCCTCCCGCCTGGCCGCACTCTGAGAACAGCCAGCCGCCCGGCCGTGACCAGACTGGCTCGGGGCTCACGTCCCCCTCGGGCGTGCGTCCCCCTCGCCGGAGGGACCAGGCGCCAGAGGAGAGCTCGGGGTTCCAGCGGCAACTCGGGGGCCTGATGGGACAGGAAGTGACTGGAAGCTCCCGTTGTGTGGAGTGGGTAGTGGGGACTGCAGGGACAAAGCCGGGCTGGGAGCAGGCCCTGGGTGGGCGGGCCTGGCCTGTGGGCCGCCATCCAGGGCTCTGTCTCTGGCGTGTTGGGTGCCCTGTCCTCCCTGGTTGGGTGCCCGGCCGCCTGGAGAGGGGCCTCTTGCGGGAGCACCCGAGGGCTGGCCCTTCCCTCGGAGCCCTTGTCCCTGGCCTCCCGCCGCCTCAGCCTGCAGCTGCCTGGGTGTGTCCGGGGCCCGCGCCTGCTTGGGGACACCTCTTCACGAGAACAACTTCCTCCTGAGCGAGAACCTTTGTCCAGGCCCAGCCCTAGGCCTCCCTGCTCCCCGGCACACCTGGCTCCCGCCCACAGCCCGCCCCTCCTGGGCCTCCCAGCCCCTCTCCCTGGGCCAGAGTGGACTGTGTGCCCGTCCCCCCCAAAGCAGCCCGGCCAGGCCCGGCCCAGGAAGGACTCAGGGCAGGGAGGCAGGGGCCTGGGAGGGACCTGCCGGACTGTCCAGCTGCGGGGCTTGAGGAGGAGGCGGAGGTGGGTGAGAACAGCTTCGCAAGCTTTTCACAAATGAGCACATGAGTGGCAGCCGGCGGGGACCAAGGGTTGGGTTTTTTGTTGTTTTGTTATGAATTTAGCTTTTATTCAAAATGAAATAAGCAAAAGCAAGTTTTTTCCAGAACTTTTACAAATTACTTACATAAAAGAAAGTTAATAGGGACAGTCCTAAGTTTGCAACAAAGGGATTATATATATATATATATATATATATATATATATATATATATATATATATATATTACTGATTTTTCACAGAGAGGAAGTGAGAGGGATAGATAGCTAGAAACATTGATGAGCGAATCATCGACCAGCTGCCGGGGATGTGCCCGCAACCAACATACATGCCCCTGACCGGAACCGAACCTGGGGTCTCAGTCCGCAGGCCGCCACTCTATCCACTGAGCCACACCGGTTTCGTCAGGGGTTGAGTTTTTTGCTGGTTTGTTTTTTGAGAGAGAAGAGCAACGTGTTGCTGGTGAAAAGGGGCGGGGCCTTGGGGCGGGGAGCCCGCATCCCCGCAGTGAGAGCCCCGGCCCCAGCGACACGCCCCGCCCCCTGGGGCCTCGGTCCCGCCCACGTCCCGCCTTCATCATCGAGGCCACGCCCCTCGCCGCTGGCTGGGGTCCATTTGCCGAAATAAGTGAACGGAGGCCTTTCCCCGGGGGCCGGGGGCTCCCGTCACCTCCCCTGATGTCGGGAGCCAGCGGGTCCCACCGCCGCCCCCGCTGTGGCCGCAGGAGGGACGGGCCCGGGGGGCGGGGGGCGAGGCCGGCCTGAGGCGCCTTCCCTTCCCGGAGGCCGGCGCCTGGGTCTGGCCGCTGCCCCTGGAGGCGGAGGTCTGCGGAGGGGGAGACCCCGGCCTCCCCGGAGGACGGCCGGCCTGGGGAGGGGTGCCGGGCCGGTCTACGTGTCCGGCGCCCCTGGGGCGCCCTCCCCAACCCACAGTGCTGCCCCTGTTCCTTCCTGGCCGACAGGAGCTGTTACAAATACACGTTCAGATGGATCTGGGAGAGAGGAAGGGAGGGGGACAGAGAGAGATCCCTCCATCGGCCGCCTCCTGCACGCCCCCGTGGGATGGAGCCTGCACCCAGGCCTGTGCCCCACTCCGAGTCCGTCCCTGGCCTCTTGGCTCCTGGGTCGATGCCCAGTGGCTGAGCCACACTGGCTCCTGGGGGCTGGCCGGGGAGATTTGGGGTGCAATTCCCTTTGGGGCTAAAGCGAACCTCCAGGCACCGAGCTCTTCGCAGGCTGATGGAAGCCCAAACCCCGCTCCAGGCACTCGGAGCGCCCCATCCCCCGAGGCCCGGGGGCGGCGGCGGCTGCGATCCTTTGGCCAAACTTTTCTTCTCGGAAACAAAAGAAGCATTAGCCCCGCCCCAAACAGTGTGGCCAGTGGATGGAGCGTCGGCCTGCAGACTCAAGGGTCCCGGGTTCGATTCCGGTCAAGGGCATGGACCTTGGTTGCGGGCACATCCCCGGTGGGGGGTGTGCAGGAGGCGGCTGGTCGGTGTTTCTTATTCTCCCTCTCCCTTCTCTGCAAAAAAATCAATAAAATATTAAATTTAAAAAAAAAAGCTGCAGCATGAGCCCCGCGTTCCCAGTGGTTCCCCGCGCAGGACCAGGCGGGCGGAACCGGCCGGACCTGCTTCGCGCTCCTTGGAGCCTCGCCACCGGCCCCGCCGCGCCCCCTCCTTTGGGCCAATCGCCCGCCAGGCCCTGCCCCGCCCTGCCCGCCCGCAGCCCGGAGCTCAGCCCGGCCCGGGCCTCCGCATTCGGCACCGCCATGGAGCTGGGGCTCGCGGGGCGCCGGGCGCTCGTCACCGGGGCGGGCAAAGGTGCGGTGGCGGCGGCGGCGGGCGGCGGGCGGCGGGCGGCGGGCGGCGGGCGGCGGGCGGCGGGCGGGGCGGGGCTGCCCGGGGCCCCTCTGAGCCCCGCTCCCCGCTGAGCCCCGCTCCCCGCTCCCCGCTGAGCCCCGCTCCCCGCTCCCCCCTGAACCCCTCTGAGCCCTGCTCCCCGCTCCGCTCTGAGCCCCGCTCCCCGCTGAGCCCCCCTGAGCCCCGCTCCGCTCCCCCCTGAGCCCGGCTCCCCGCTCCCCGCAGGCATCGGGCGCAGCACGGTCCGGGCGCTGCACGCGGCGGGGGTGCGGGTGGTGGCCGTGAGCCGCACCCAGGGCGACCTGGACAGCCTGGTCCGCGAGGTACGGCCGCGGGCGGCGGGCACCGGGCGGCGGCCCCGGGCGGCGGGCCCCGGGCCCCGGGCGGGGCGGGGCGGGCCGCGGGGCCGATCGCGCAGACTCCGGGCTCCGAGCGCCTCCGGGAGCGCCGCCTCCGAGCTGGAAGCCGCAGACATGGCCGCCGGCGGGGCGGGCGGAGGAAGTGAGCTGTGGGGGGGCTGGTCCCCCAGCTCCCAGCGGCCCAGAGGCCGGCCACCTCCCTCCCGCCTCCCCAGCATCCGGGGGTTCTGAGCCCCAAGACGGTGCCGCCTCCTGGGGGGGACCCCCCGTGGGTCTGAGAGCTCAGCCTCGCAGCCCCCTCCCTGTGGGCAGAGCCCCCTGTGGCCTCCTCAGGCAGAGCCCCCTCACTGCCGTGCCCGTGAATGCCGTCCCCCCGTGAATGCCGTCCCCCCATGAATGCTGTCCCCCGTGAATGCCGTCCCCCATGAGCAGTGCCCCCCGTGAATTCCGTCCCCCGTGAATGCCGTCCCCCATGAGCAGTGCCCCCCATGAATGCCGTCCCCCCGTGAATGCCGTCCCCCGTGAATGCCGTCCCCCATGAGCAGTGCCCCCCGTGAATTCCGTCCCCCGTGAATGCCGTCCCCCATGAGCAGTGCCCCCCATGAATGCCGTCCCCCGTGAATGCCGTCCCCCGTGAATGCCGTCCCCCATGAGCAGTGCCCCCCATGAATGCTGTCCCCCGTGAATGCCGTCCCCCATGAGCAGTGCCCCGGGGTGGAGCCCGTGTGCGTGGACCTGGGCGACTGGCCGGCCACGGAGCGGGCGCTGGCCGGCGTGGGCCCGGTGGACCTGCTGGTGAACAACGCAGCTGTGGCACTGCTGCAGCCCTTCCTGGAGGTCACCAAGGAGGCCTGTGACACGTGAGCCCCCGGGGCGGGCGGGAGGGACCCCCAGGGCGCAGCCCAGCCCGACCAGACTTCTGTGTCTGCCTGCAGCACCTTCAACGTGAACCTGCGGGCGGTGGTCCAGGTGTCCCAGGTGAGCGGCCGGGGCGGGGGGTGGGGGGGGCAGGTGTCCCAGGTGAGCGGCCGGGGCGGAGGGCGGGGGGCGGGGGGCAGGTGTCCCAGGTGAGCGGCCGGGGCGGGGGGTGGGGGGGGCAGGTGTCCCAGGTGAGCGGCCGGGGGGGGGGCAGGTGTCCCAGGTGAGCGGCCGGGGGGGGGCAGGTGTCCCAGGTGAGTGGCCTGGGGGGAGGGGGCGTGGAGGGCCAGGGTGACGGCCCCCTCACCGTCTCTGAATTCCAGATCGTGGCGCGGGGCCTGATCGCCCGCGGGGCCCCCGGGTCCATCGTGAACGTGTCCAGCCAGGCCTCCCAGCGGGCACTCGCCAACCACAGCGTCTACTGTGAGTGCACCCTACCCCCACCCCCCAGCCTGCAGCCGGCCCCCCACTTACAGCCCCTCCGCGCAGGTGCCACCAAGGGGGCCCTGGACATGCTGACCAAGGTGATGGCTATGGAGCTCGGGCCTCACAAGGTGGGCCTGCTGGGGCGCCCCGTCCCTGGGTGCCGGGCCCCCCAGCCCGCCGTGCTGAGCCCCCCGTCTGTCCCGGCACAGATCCGCGTGAACACAGTGAACCCCACGGTGGTGATGACCCCCATGGGCAAGGCCAACTGGAGCGACCCGGTGAAGGCCAAGACCATGCTGGACCGGATCCCGCTGGGCAGGTTTGCGGGTGAGTCGGGGGCGGGGGTGTGGGGGGAGGGGGGCCGGGGGGCACGGGCCTGCCTGGGCGAGGAGAGGAGCTTCCTCACCCCCTCGGTCTGCAGAGGAGCAGGACGTGGTGGACGCCATCCTCTTCCTGCTGAGTGACCACAGCAGCATGACCACCGGCTCCGCTGTGCCCGTGGACGGGGGCTTCCTGGCCACCTGAGCCCCCCCACGGCCCTGCTCCCCGTGAGCCCTGCCCCCCTCCGCCCCCCAATAAACACAATACTGCTCAGCCCGCCGGGCCCTGCTGTGGGCGGGTGGACAGGGGTCCCCGTGCGGGGACGGCCATTCACCGCCGGTCCCAGGCCGGGGGCCGCCTGGCTCCTGGCCTGAGGTCTTCAGATGAGGCTCCCTTTCCGGAGGCTGGAATCTTCCAGAAGTTCCTGTAGCTCCTAACAATGGCTGTTTAAGCAGCAAAGTTCCCGAAAACCTCACTGCCAGCCCTGCAGGCCAGTGAGCCCTCTCGGACCGCGGCCTCGGGTCCCGGGGTGCCTGGAGCCGTGCCCGCGGCCGGGGCCGAAGTCCGGGCTCCTGGACCTCAGCTCCGGCCGCCGTCTCACCCCCACCGTCCCGGCCCCGGAGGCCCCTGGCCCTGGCTGCCCGCCTCGCCATGCTGACCTCTGCGCCTGGTCCACTGGGTGCTCAGCCTGGACGCCCCCTGACCTCTCGCAGACTCAGCAACACACACACAGGAGGGGGAGCGTGGGGGGCCGCACACGGGGCTCCCTGCCTGACTGCCGACTGTCCCCCCACACCCGGAGCCCGAGGGCTCCCCCACAGCCCCCACCCCCACCCGGGCCAAATACACTGGCTCCCACTCCCCCCCCCCCCCCGCCCTGCTGTGGGGAGAGGAGAGAGGGGGGCGGGGGAGTGAGGGGGGCGGGGGCCCTGCTGTGGGGAGAGGAGAGGGGAGTGAGGGGGGGTGAGGGGGACGGGGCCCTGCTGTGGGGAGAGGGGGGGCGGGGCCCTGCTGTGGGGAGGGGGGAGGGGAGAGGGGAGTGAGGTGGGGGGGCGGGGGGAGCGGAGGAGACCACGGAGCAGGCTCACCCCCAGCACCAGGGCGACAGTCAGAGGCATCAGATGCTGGAGAACGTTTATTGTATAAAATAAAACAGGGACAGAACCCCGCCCCCGCCCCCGCCCCCCCAGGGAAGCCCATCCGGGGGCTCCCTGCACCCCTCCTGCAGCCTGAGGGAGGCCCCGCTCCCTCACGGCTCTGCGGCCGAGGAGGCAGCGAGGCTGAGCCCACCGCCCGGCCCCATGCCCCCCCTTCCCCACCCCGTACCCTCGGCAGACTCGGACAGGACGCTCAGCAGGACAGCAGACCGGGGGGGGGTGGGGGCTAGAAGACGGCGCACTTCTTCCCCGGCTTCTTCGCGGGCGGCGGGCACAGCACCGCGCGGATCGCCTCGTCGAACACGGTCTTCAGGCCGCGCTGCGTCAGGGCCGAGCACTCCAGGTACTTGACCGAGCCTGGGCCGCGGGGGAGAGGAGAGGAGAGTGAGGCAGGGAGGCAGGGGGGCGGGGAGCGGAGAGTGAGGGGGGGCCCTGGGCCGCGGAGAGGAGAGGAGAGGAGAGGAGAGGAGAGGAGAGGAGAGGAGAGGAGAGGAGAGGAGAGGAGAGGAGAGGAGAGGAGAGGAGAGGAGAGGAGAGGGAGGCAGGGAGGCAGGGGGGCGGGGAGCGGAGAGGAGCGGAGAGTGAGGGGGGGCCCTGGGCCGCGGAGAGGAGAGGAGAGGAGAGTGAGGGGGGGCCCTGGGCCGCGGAGAGGAGAGGAGAGTGAAGGGGGCGGGCGGGGTCCTGGGGGCGGGGAGAGGAGAGTGAGGCGGGAGGGCGGGGGGACGGGGGCCCTGGGCCGGGGAGAGGAGGGGAGAGGAGGGGAGAGGAGAGGCGGGAGGGCGGGGACGGAGGGCGACGGGGTCCTGGGGGCGGGGAGAGGAGAGGCGGGAGGGCGGGGACGGGGGGCGGGGTCCTGGGGGCGGGGAGAGGAGAGGCGGGAGGGCGGGGACGGAGGGCGACGGGGTCCTGGGGGCGGGGAGAGGAGAGGCGGGAGGGCGGGGACGGGGGGCGGGGTCCTGGGGGCGGGGAGAGGAGAGGCGGGAGGGCGGGACGAGGGGCGGCGGGGTCCTGGGGGCGGGGAGAGGCGAGGCGGGAGGGCGGGGACGGGGGGCGGCGGGGTCCTGGGGGCGGCCGCTCACCGATCTCGCGGGCCATGGCCAGGCCCTGCGGGTAGGTGATGGGCGCCAGCTTCTTGTCCCGCAGCCGCTCGACGGTGTCCTTGTCGTCCCGCAGGTCCAGCTTGGTGCCCACCAGCAGGATGGGCGTGTGGGGGCAGTGGTGCCGCACCTCCGGGTACCACTGCGGGGAGGGAGCTCTGACCCACCTCCGGCTCCTCCCGGGCGCCTGCCCCGGGGCCCCAGACCCACTCAGCACCTCCTGCTTCACGCTGACCGCTCGGCCGGATGGGGCAAGAGTCCCCAGCCGGGCCCTGGCTGGTGTGGCTCAGGGGATGGAGTGTCAGCCTGGGGACTGAAGGGTTCAGGGTTCGATTCCCATCAGGGCACGGGCCCGGGTTTTGGGCTGTATCCCCAGGAGGGCGCCTGCAGGAGGCAGCCGAACAATGATTCTCTCTCATCGTTGATGTTCTGCTCCCTCTCCCTTCCTCTCTGATATCAATAAAAATATATTTTTAAAAGAAAGAAAGAAAGAAAGATCCCAAGCCTGTTTGGCTCATTGGGTAGAGCATCGGCCTGCAGACACCAGGGTCCCAGGGTAAGAGCATATAACTTGGCTTCCGGCACATCCCCAGTAAGGATGTTTCTAACTCTGTCCCTCTCCCTTCTTCTCCGTAAAAAGTCAGTAAAATATATTTCAAAAAGCAAGAATCCCCAGGCGGAAGCTTCCAGGCCTATTGGGGCCTCCCAGCTGGGGCCCTTCCCCTCTCACCACCCTGCCCAGCCCCGTACCCTGTCCCCCAGCCCTGAAACCCACGCCAAGCAAAGAGGGCATCTCCATCTCCAGAGGACCGTTAGCCCGGTGAGCCAGAGCCCCTGCCCCATCAGAGCAAGCCCCCGGCCCTCCTCCCCTCGGGGACCTCCCCCCCGGCCCTCCTCCCCTTGGGGCCCCCAGGCCCCGGCCCTTCTCCCCTCAGGGACCCCCAGACCCTGTTCCCCTCGGACAGGCCCCCCAGGCCCCCGGCCCTCCTCCCTTCGGGGCCCCCAGCCCTCCTCCCCTCGGGACCCCCAGGCCCCCGCCCCCCTCCCCTCGGGGCCCCCCTACCTTGGCGCGCACATTCTCGAAGGAGGCCGGGCTCACCAGGGAGAAGCAGATCAGGAAGACGTCCTTGGGAGGGAGGAGCCGGGTGGAGGTGGCCCAGGAGGCCCGCGTCCCCCCAGGACCCTCGCCCCGCCCCCGGGCCGCGCCGCCTACCGTTTGCGGGTAGGAGAGCGGGCGCAGGCGGTCGTAGTCCTCCTGCCCCGCCGTGTCCCACAGCCCCAGGTTCACCGGCTTCCCGTCCACCATCACGTTGGCCGAGTAGTTGTCGAACCTGCGGGGACGGGGGTCACCGGCGGCCCGGGAGCCCGGACCCCCGCCCGCCCCCCAGAGCCCGGTCCCGCGCCCCCCGCCCCGCCGCCCCGCCCCCCAGCCCGGCCCCCGCCCCCGGAGCCCGGCCCCCGCCCCCGAGCCCGGACCCCCCCCCCCGAGCCCGGCCCCCCGCCCCCGAGCCCGGACCCCCCGCCCCGCCCTCCCGAGCCCGGCCCCCGCCCCTCCGCCCCCCGGAGCCCGGACCCCCGCCCGCCGCACCCCGGAGCCCGGCCCCCCCGCCCCCCGCGCCCCCCGCCCCGCCCGCGCCCCCGCCCGCGCTCACACGGTGGGGATGTACTCCCCGGGGAAGGCGTTGGTCGTGTAGCTGATGAGCAGGCAGGTCTTGCCCACGGCGCTGCGGGCGGAGGGCAGCACGTGGCTCCGGGTTCTCGGACCCGCGGCCGCGAGGCAGCCCCGCCCCGGCCCCGGCCCAGCCCCGCCCCAGGGCCCGGGACGGGGACCCGCGTGCAGGACCCGCAGCGCCCGGGCGGGGAGGGCCTGGGAGCGGGCTGCGGGCCGGGGCGGCGGGCGGCGGGGGCCGCCGGTGAGGCCCGCCCGCCGCACGGAGGCCCGGTCCGCCCGGAGCATCAGGTGGGCCGGGGAGGCCTCGCGGGGAGCGGGGAGCCCGGCGCCCCGCCGGCCGCGCCCTCCCGCCGCCCCGGCCCCGCGCCCCCCGCACTCACCCGTCGCCGACCACCACGCACTTGATGGCCTGCATGGGCGCGGCCCGGCGCGGGGGCAGCTGCGGAGAAATGCCCGCCGCCGCCCGCAGCGCCCGCCGCACCGGCCGAGCCGAGCCGAGCGCCGGGCCGAGCCGAGCGGCGGAGACAGCCGAGCGCCGCCGAGCGCCGGGCGCGGACACAGCCGAGCGCGCCCGCCGGGGGCGCGGGCTTCCGGAGAGGGAGGGGGCGCGGGCCCGGTGCCCGCCCGCCGGTCCGGAGCCCGGCCCCCGCCCCCGCCTGCCCCCCGGTCCCGGAGCCCGGCCTCCCGCCCCCCGCCCCCCCTCCGCCGCCCCCCCCCCGGTCCCGTAGCCCGGTCCCCCGCCCGCCCCCCGGTCCCAGAGCCCGGCCCCCGCCCCCCGCCCCGGCGCACGGGGCTCCCAGGCCGCGCGCCCCGGAGGACAGCCGCCGCGATGCACACGCGGGGTGTCCGCGCGCGTGGCCGCCCGGGGGACGCTCCCGGCTCGCCGCCCGCCTGCGGAGACGCGGGGGCCTGGGCGTTTGCAGTCCCAGCCCCCGGGGCGGCGGCAGCGCCCAGGCCATTGCCCAGGGCCAGCCGGCCTCCCGGACCCGCAGCGGGGCGCGGGCTGACGGAGAAGGAAGCCGGAGCCAGAACGTATCACAAAGTGGAAAAGTTCTTTATTTCAAACGCCCTGAGTCACACTGGAAGGCGATGCGGGGTGAGGAGGGAGCCGGGAGGGCTCTGCCCCCGTGTCCCCCGTCCCCCGCGTTTTCTCAGGCGCCGGCCGCCTGGGAGCCCCGGGGTGGGGGCTGAGCTGGGCGCAGATGGTCTTGGCGCCGATTTCTCGGGGCGGCTGCACCCCGCACCGCCAGCCGCCACCTCCCCGCCGCTCCTGGGGGCTCCGCCTCCCTCACTTGTGGGGGCTCAGGGCCCTCGCGGGGGACCCCTGCACGTAGGCCAGGACCGCGCTTTGCAAGAAGCTGGCCCTCTGCGCCTCCTCCTCCCGGATGCGCGCGATCTCCGCCTCCCGCAGCCGCAGCTTCTCGCGGAGGCAGGCGTTCTCGCTCTCCCGGTCCAGCAGCGCCTCCCGGTGGGCACTCGCCGTCACTGCGGGGGAGGAAGCTCAGTGCCCGGGCATCAGCCGCTCAGAGGGCCACAGAGAGGACGCCGGTGGGGTCTGGGGTCCCATAGGCGCCTCTCAGAGCCAGACCTTGTCCCAGCCCCGCCCCCACCTGTGGCCAGGGAGCCCGGGGCCTGCAGGGCCCTGGGGGGAGAGGGGCTCACCTCTCAGCTGACGCTCCAGGGCTGCCACCTTCTCCTTCAGCCCTTCCTGGGCGGCCAGCTCCGCCTGCAGGCGGCCGTTCTGCTCCTGGAATTCCACCCGCACCCGGGTCACCTCCACCACCTTTTCCTGGTCCTTGTTGCTCAGCTCCTGCCAGGCACATGGGTGAGAGGGCGCGGAGGGAGCGGGGCAGGCACCCCGGAGGGAGCCCCCGAAGGCCCGGTTACCTGCTGCAGCTCCTCCAGGCGCCGCCTCAGCGCCTCCACCTGCAGGCCCAGCTGGCCGCCCCGCGCCTGGGCCTCGGCCACCATCTGCTTCTGCTGCAGGCAGGTGGCCTGCGCCTCGTCCCTTGCCTGCGCCAGCAGCCGCAGCTTCTCTTCCAGGTGTCCCAGGCGCTGCTGCTGCAGGGGCCACGGGCTGGTGAGTGCGGGGCCCCCGGGCAGCAGCGAGGAGCGAGCCCTCTCCGACCAGGGAGCTTTCGTTTGAACAATGTGGTCAGTGCAGCCCAACCAGGCGTGGGCCGTGGGCCGTGGGGCCTGACTCCTCCCCCACCTGGACACGGTGTCAATGCAACATGGGTCCGTTCTGCCTGCTCCCCGCCTGCACGCTGGAGCTCCCGTCCCCTCACCCCCGGCCCCCGGCCCCATCTGCCTCTGCAGCCGGCCCCGGCCTCACCTCCTCCAGGCGGACCTGGCTCTTGGCCTTCATGAGCTCCTCCTCGGCCCGGCCACGCTCACCGAGGGCCGCCGCCTTCGCCCGGCTCAGCTCCTGCAGCACAGAGACCGGCTGGCCCTCCGCCCGGCCCTGCCCGCCGATGAGCCCCGTGGCTGAGGGACGCCCATGCCCCTCACCCGGCCCCCTGGGCGCACAGGGTCCCCGGGAGCCCGGCCTGCATCACCTCCTCCAGGGACAGCCGCGCGGCCTCCAGCCTCTGCACCCGCTCCTGCAGGGCCCGCTCGCTCTCCTCCAGGTGGCGTGCCATGTGCTCCACCTGCCGGGGGCAGGGACAGGGCCGCTGGGCTGGCTCCAGCTCCCCCCCCCCCCCCCCCCCCGCCCGGGACCCTGACCCTGGGAGGCAGGGGGATCTCGGGGACCCTGTTCCTTCCAAGGGGCTGCCGGAGCTTCTCAGGAAGCAGAGATGGAGGGCAGGTCCCAGCGCCCCCCCCACCCCGCGGCCCCCACGAGGAGGGGTCCCTCCAGGCCCTGGTTAGGGGGTTCTGGGTCTGGCGTCGGCTGGGGCGGGTTGAAAGGCTGCCACCTAGCGCCCCGAGGGCATGAGGGGAGCCCAGCCAGGGAGTTCCTTGGGGACATCGGGCTGCCCCGAGGCGCCTGCAGGCCCCAGGCGGGCAGAGGGGGGAGCGCGAGGCCAGACGACCAGGAAGGAGGCACCTCCTTGGCGCGCAGCTGCTCCGCGTCCTCCAGGCTCTGCCGAGACCGCCGCTTCTCGAGGTCCAGGCGCTCTGGACGGGAAGGCAGCCATGGACGGCTCCTCAGGCCCCGTCCCCACGCCTCCGCCCGCACGCCCCAGGCCCCCCATCCCCACGCCTCCGCCCGCCTCCCCCACCCCCATCCCCAAGCCTCCGCCCGCCCGCCTGCCCAAGGCCCCCCATCCCCACGCCTCCGCCCGCCCCCCCCACCCCCGTCCCCACGCCTCCGCCCGCCCCAGGCCCCAGGCCCCGGGCCCCCGCCGGCGCCCACCCTCGGCCTGCACGGCTCGCATCTTCAGCTCGGCCGCCGTGTTGGTCAGCTCCTGCCTGGCCAGGAACAGCTGGTCCTGCTGCGACTTCGCCTTCCGCTCCAGCTCGTCCACCTGGAAAGCCCACTCCGTGGAGGGGACGCTCTCCCCAGCCTCGCACACCCTGGGCCTGGGCCCCGCACCCCTCTACCGGCCCCGCACCCCTCTCCCGGGTCCGCACCCCTCTACCGGCCCCGCACCCCTCTACCGACCCCGAACCCCTCTACCGGCCCCGCACCCCTCTACCGGCCCCGCACCCCTCTACCGGCCCTGCACCCCTCTACCGGCCCTGCACCCCTCTACCGGCCCCGCACCCCTCTACCGGCCCCGCACCCCTCTACCGGCCCCGCGCCCCTCTACCGGCCCTGCACCCCTCTACTGGCCCTGTACCCCTCTACCGGCCCCGCACCCCTCTACCGGCCCCGCACCCCTCTACCGGCCCCGCGCCCCTCTACCGGCCCTGCGCCCCTCTACTGGCCCTGTACCCCTCTACCGGCCCTGCACCCCTCTACTGACCCCGCACCCCTCTACCGGCCCCGCACCCCTCTCCCGGCCCCGAACCCCTCTCCCGGCCCCGAACCCCTCTCCCGGCCCCGCACCCCTCTACCGGGCCCACACCCCTCTACCGGGCCCACACCCCTCTACCGGCCCCGCACCCCTCTACCGGCCATGAACCCCTCTACCGGCCCCGAACCCCTCTACCGGCCCCGCACCCCTCTACCGGCCATGAACCCCTCTACCGGCCCCGAACCCCTCTACCGGCCCCGCACCCCTCTACCGGCCATGAACCCCTCTCCCGGGCCCGCACCCCTCTACCAGCCCCGCACCCCTCTACCGGCCCTGCACCCCTCTACCGGCCCCGAACCCCTCTACCGGCCCTGCACCCCTCTACTGGCCCCGTACCCCTCTACTGGCCCCGCACCCCTCTACCGGGCCCACACCCCTCTACCGGGCCCGCACCCCTCTACCGGCCCCGCACCCCTCTACCGGCCCCGCACCCCTCTACCGGCCCCGAACCCCTCTACCGGCCCTGCACCCCTCTACTGGCCCCGCACCCCTCTACCGGGCCCCGCACCCCTCTCCCGGGCCCGCACCCCTCTACCGGCCCCGCACCCCTCTACCGGGCCCACACCCCTCTACCGGGCCCCGCACCCCTCTCCCGGGCCCGCACCCCTCTACCGGCCCCGCACCCCTCTACCGGGCCCCGCACCCCTCTCCCGGGCCCGCACCCCTCTCCCGGGCCCGCACCCCTCTACCGGGCCCGCACCCCTCTACCGGGCCCACACCCCTCTACCGGGCCCCGCACCCCTCTCCCGGGCCCGCACCCCTCTACCGGCCCCGCACCCCTCTACCGGCCCCGCACCCCTCTCCCGGCCCTGCACCCCTCTACCGGCCATGAACCCCTCTACCGGCCATGAACCCCTCTCCCGGGCCCGCACCCCTCTACCAGCCCCGCACCCCTCTACCGGCCCTGCACCCCTCTACCGGCCCCGAACCCCTCTACCGGCCATGAACCCCTCTACCGGCCCCGCACCCCTCTACCGGCCCCGCACCCCTCTACCGGGCCCCGCACCCCTCTACCGACCCCACACCCCTCTACCGGCCCCGCACCCCTCTACCGGCCCCGCACCCCTCTACCGGGCCCGAACCCCTCTACCGGCCCCGCACCCCTCTACCGGCCCCGCACCCCTCTACCGACCCCACACCCCTCTACCGGCCCCGCACCCCTCTACCGGCCCCGCACCCCTCTACCGGCCCCGCACCCCTCTACCGGCCCCGCACCCCTCTACCGGGCCCGAACCCCTCTACCGGCCCCGCACCCCTCTACCGGGCCCCGCACCCCTCTACCGGGCCCCGCACCCCTCTACCGGGCCCCGCACCCCTCTACCGGCCCCGCACCCCTCTACCGGCCATGAACCCCTCTACCGGCCCCGCACCCCTCTACCGGCCCCGCACCCCTCTACCGGCCCCGCACCCCTCTACCGACCCCACACCCCTCTACCGGCCCCGCACCCCTCTACCGGCCCCGCACCCCTCTACCGGCCCCGCACCCCTCTACCGGCCCCGCACCCCTCTCCCGGGCCCCGCACCCCTCTCCCGGGCCCGCACCCCTCTCCCGGGCCCGCACCCCTCTACCGGGCCCCGCACCCCTCTACTGACCCCACACCCCTCTACCGGGCCCCGCACCCCTCTACTGACCCCACACCCCTCTACCGGCCCCGAACCCCTCTACTGGGCCCCGCACCCCTCTACTGGGCCCCGCACCCCTCTACCTGGTTTCGCAGCAGCAGGTTCTTCTCGTTGGCAGCGGACAGGTCTCTGAGCAGCTTGGACTCGCGCTCTGCAGCTTCCTAGGGGTGAGGCGGGGAGGGACCAGTGGGCCGCCTGCTGCCACGTACGGCCTAGCGTCTACACCGCCCCCGCCCGCCCACCTGCTGCTGCAGCCGGTGCTCCTTGGCTTGCTTCTGCGCCAGGCTCTGCTGCTCCTGCCCGGCCGCGGCCAGCAGCTCCCCCAGGTCCTGGGCCTTCTGCTCCGACAGCGCCAGGGCGGCCTCGGCCATCTGCAGCCTGCAGGGGGAGCCGTCCGCCCCTGAGCCCGCCAGGCCTGGCCCGGGCCTCGCCTCCACCTCACAAAAGCCTCCGTTCGCACTGTCCCCCAGGCCGCTGTCCACTCCTCCAAGCCGTTCCCACCTTCACTTTACACACAGGAACACGGGTCCGTGTCTGCGCCCCCTCCCGTCCTGCGGGCCCGTCTGCCCGGAGCCTCCCGCCCACCCCGGCCTCCTCCGCTCACTTGGCCTTGAGGGCGTTGATGATGGAGTGCCTCTCGTCCAGGGCCTCCTGAAGCTGCCCCACGCGCAAGGCCGACGCCCTTCGGGCAGAGAGGGGGGTCAGGGAACCCAGAGGCGCCCCCCCGGGGCAGCGCCCTGTCTCCTGCGCCCCCACCCTCAGGCACCGGCTGGGAGCACTGTGCTGCCTGCACCCAGAGCCCACGTCGCTGAGAGCACACGCCACACCCTTCCCCGCGAGCAGGCGACACGGCTCAGGCTGGGCCACCCCGAGGTCAGAGGCAACCCAAGCCCTGGGCGCCCCGCTGAGCCCCTCACCTGCTGCTCCGGGCCAGCTCCTCCCGCTGCTGCTCAATGGTCTCCATCAGGTCCAGAAACTGAGGGCAGACGCAGAGCCCGGGCTCGGTGGGAAGGCGGGGACCCCCCAGGAGCAGGACTGCGGAGGGGGGTGGGCCCCCAGGGGACCCTGCTCCCCCGGCCGGAGGGCCGTGCCAGGGAGCAGCGCCGCCCGTGCCGGCCTCGGAGGGGCCGGCCGGGCCGGGGGCCGTGCCAGGCGGCGCCGGGCTCACCTGCTTGGACTTCTCCTCCTGCAGGTGCCGCACCTCCTTGCTGAGCACGCGGGTGCGGGCGCGGCTCTCCCGGGCGGCGGCCTTCCGGTCCTGGCTGTGCTCCATGGCTTGCTCTGTGGGGGGCGCCGTGTGAACCACCGGGGGCGGCCCAGCCCGGCCCGAGCTCAGAGGCCGGCAGCTGAGGACCAGGCCTGTGCGTGGCAATGGCTCACTCGCCGCCATGCTGACGCTCAGCGCACGGGGGACGGAGAGGCGTCAGCATGGGTGTGGGGGGCGCCAGGCAGGGGTGGGGGGCGCCAGGCAGGGGTGGGGGCACACGTGGAGTGAGACGTTTGTCTCCGTCCCCGAGGTCAAAGGCCACGGTGACTCTCCAGCAATGAGCTCCCGTGCGCTGGGAAGACCTGGGCAGCGTGTGGAGAGGGGCCAGCCAGGTGGGGCTCTGGTGTCGGGAGTGATGACCCAGAGGCAGGCCCAGGACGGAGGAGCCTGAGGAGGTGGCACGGCCTAGGCAGCCCAGCAGGAGGTGGAGAGCCAGCTGGGCAGGGCTCCAGCGGGGGGGGGGGGGTCCTCGATGATTGGTAGGACGAGGAGTCTTGGGGAATGGTGGGGGGCTCTGCTGGGCCCCGGCCGAGGGCCACGGGGGCCGTGGCTCGGACCTGGCAGCTCTACAACCACACGGCTCCCATGCACGGCTGTGAACTCAGGGGTGGCGGGGACAGATGCCTCCCGAGGCAGCAGCTCGGCCACGCTGCCTCAGTTTGCTCATCTGTGAAATGGGTGACCACCCTCGGGGGATCTAAGAACCGAATGAGCAGGTCCCAGGAGCAGCTCTCCCTCGTTTTTAATCCAGGGACACCCCCTCCCCGGAGGCGGGGCCTCGGTCACTTTACGGTCTGAGGGCTCCAAACGGCACCGTACCCACGGCTCTGAGGACGTCGCTGGGCACGCTGTTCCCGGCCAGCTCCAGCCGCCACAGGCTCCGGTTGCTGGAGAGGCAGCTCGCCAGGGCCCGGCCGCCCAGGAGGCCAATGTTGTTCCAGCGCAGGTCTGAGCAGGGGGGAAACCTCGTCACCTGGGAGCCGGCCTGGCCGGGCTGCTTCCTCTGGGGGGTCAGCAGGCAGGAGCCCGGCGTGGCTCACCCCGCCCCCGCCCCCGCCCCCACCCCCGCCCCCGGCTCCCGGATGGGCTAAGGAAGTGGCAGGGGCTCACCCAGCTGCTGCAGGCCGGTGTTGGCCTTCAGGGCCAGGGCCAGCTCCTCGGCGCCCTGGTGGCTGACCTGGTTGTTGCGGAGGTCCAGCTGCCGCAGGGCGGGGTTGCCCGCCAGCGCCCGGCAGAAGGTGGCGAAGGCCTCTTCCCAGGCCCCCAAGCTGTTCCACTCCAGGGTGAGGCTGCGGGAGGGGTCGAGCGGCACCTGCTCCCATGAGGCCCCTGGGGCTCCGGGGGGCGGGGGGTGGGTGCAGGCCTGGGTATCTCTGGCAGGAAGTCTGGAGCCACATGCGTAACCCGCACCCGCCTGGTCCCCACAGACGGACGGCAGCCGGTTGGAAGGTGGGAACCCTCGGGGCAGCCCTCATGGTGCAGGGAACGGGGGCCGGGGAGGAGGCATCACCTCACCTCTGAATGGACTTGTTCTGTCGGAGGAGTTTCCCCAGAGCCTCAGCCCCTCTGGCCTGGAGGTTGTTGCCCTGGACAGACAGGAGGAGGCAGACCCGTTGTCCGGGCCGGGCACACCCACAGGGCCCTGGTCAGGCGGTGGGCGAGGCCAGGCCACCTGGGGCCGGTTCGCTTGGTTTGCTTATGGGGACCCTCTGGACACACACACACACACACACACACACGCTCAGAACCCCCAGGACACAGGGATGCTCTGTGCCAACGGTGCTTACAGACACAGGCTCCAGCCACGGCCCACACCCCAGGTCGCCGGGGCACCCCTTCCTCCCCTTCCCGTGGGCCCCTCACCTTCAGGTCCAGGAACCGCAGGATGGTGTTGGCACACAGCCCCTGGAGCAGCAGTGCGGCCCCTGGAAGGGGGCAGGGAGTCACTCTCTGCCCTTGGGGCCCGGGATGGGCCCCATCTTGGGGTACCTCCCCAGACTCCTGGGAGGAAAGCCGGTCCAGGCAGCAGCCCCCACCACACAATCAGGTTCAGGGCGTTAGCCAGGAGCCCCATCCTGTGTCAGGTTCGAAAAACCCACACCCTCTGCCCAGCATGGAGCCAGGCCGCCGGCACCCTGGACTCTCCTGATGCTTCTTGGTTACAAAGCAACTGCCCCAAGCTTGCAGAAGGGACCTCGCTGCCTGCTTTAACGCCAAGGCCAAGTGGAGGAGCCTCCCAGGGTCTCCATGGTAAGGTGACCAGACGTCCCGATTTTTAACAATTTGTCCTGCCAAAACCGGGCCGTCTGGTCACCTTACGAGTCCATGGGGACACGGGTGGGACGGAGTCTCTTTCGGGACTTGTGGGCCGGGCGCAGCGGGACCGGGGAGGCGGCCGGGGCCAGGGCTCGGAGTGCCAGGCCGCCCCGGCCCGCCGCCCACCTTCCTCGCTCAGCATGCAGTCGCTCAGGACCAACTCCGTCAGCTGGGCCTCCCTGGGCAGCAGCGCGCCCAGCGCCCTGCAGGTGTCCAGGGTCAGGCTCTGCGCCGCCAAGTCCAGCCGGCCCCGCGGCAGCTCGTGCAGGCGCTGCAGCACGGTCTCCTGCGGCTCGGCGCCCCGCTCCCGGCACAGCCGGCTGTAGGAGCGCAGGAACTCCTCCATGTCCGGGCCGCCGGCAGGGCGCCTCCGCGCCGCGAGCGCCGGAACCCAGCGTCCTCCGTCAGGGCCAGCTCCAGGTACAACGAACGGGCTCTACAGGTGAGAGGCCCCGGTGGACAGGGGTGGCCTGCGGCCGGCGCGGGGCCGCGGGGCCGCGGGGCCGGGCGTCACGCGTGCTCGGGACCCCAAACCACGCGCATCGCTCAGCGGGGTCCGCGGGCGCCTCAGTATCCAGGAAGAGCAGGGTGCGCCGGGAACGGCTGGCGGAACTACAACTCCCAAAAGGCTTTGCGGAAAAAAAGGGTGCTCGTCACTGGCCAATGAGGGAGAAGGGGGCGGGCGCGCGCGCTGGGACGCCAGCCCGAAGTCGGGGCAACGCGCTCCGAGCCAATGGGAGGGGGGACGAGGGCAGGGCTTAGGAGTGCGCGCTCCGGTATGATTGGCTGGAGGCGTATGGGCGTGGCCAAGATGGGGCGCGCTTACGGCTCATTGGCTGGGAGCGCGAGTGCTGGTCGAGGGGCGCGCGCGGCGGTGGCGGCCATGGAGGGGACCAGCGCCTGCTTCCGGAAGGTGAACGTAGGAGCGCGGGGGTCGGGGTCAGGAGGCCCCTTTAGGGCGAGCGCATCCCCAGATCCAGCCGCGACCCCAGCCCGCGCGGCCCTGGCTGCCCCCGTGGCCCCGCTGCAGCTCGGCCTGGTGTCGGGCGCCGCCGGCGCTTCGTTAATAGCCCCGGGCGGCCAGGCCGGTCCCTGCACCCGACACGGGTCACGCCGTGAACGCGGCGCCCTCGGCGATGGGAACTGCTCGCCCGTCACTGGGAGGGCGGGAGCCGGTCCTCTGCACCCGGCGAAGGCGCTCGGCCTCCGGTGCTCGCTCGGCTCTGAGCGCTGGAACCGGGAAGGGGCATCGGGGGCCGCAGCCCCAGGGTGGCCTCGGCCTTGCCGGGAGGGCGCTTCTCGCTGGTCCGCCTTCCCCTCGGTCCCTCCATTACCGGGATTCGTGACTCTGCCTGGCCCCGGGATAGTCGCCGAGGCCCGGGTGACTGCGGGGGGCTGTGAGAACCCCGTATGACAGCTGGAGAGGGCGCGGAGCTGGCCTCTGTCCCGCCCACCTGGCAGCTCAGGGCCTCCATCCAGCTGGGGGCGCGGTCACTGCCCCTGAACGGCTCTTCCTGGGAGGGCGCCGGGGGGCGGGCTGGGGGGGGGAAGGGCGCGGGGGGAGGCGGGCGCGGGGGGGGGGAAGGGCGCCGGGGGGCGGGCGAGGGGGGGCGCGCCGGGGAGCGGGCAGAGGCTGAGAGCCTCCCGTCCCATCCTGCCCTCAGCTCAGTCACTGGTGTAGCGGCTGTTGCTTCCTGTTGGCGCCGCCCCCAGGAGGCGCCCTAGCTCTTCCTGGGGTCTGGCCCTTCCTGGTAGCCGCAGGGACCAGCAGGTGGCAGACCCGGCCCACTGCGCGAGGGGAGGCCGCGGCTGCTCCCCCAGTGGCCGTGCGGGTGGGGGGGCATGAGGCTGCCCCGGATTCCTGGAGAACCGGAGCCCCAGAGGGGCGGCAGTCACCTGGGCTGCCCCACCTGCCCACCACCCAGTCCCTGGCCGAGGCAGAAATCACACCCTCCCACCCACCGCTGCCGGCGGGGTCTGTGGTAGCAGGTGGGGGCAGGCCAGTCACTGTCCTGCTGGTCCCCAGGAGCTGGTGAGCAAGCTGCTGCACCTGCACTTCAAGGACGACAAGACCAAAGGTGGGCACCAGCCTGGGGAAGTGGGGCACCAGCCTGGAGCGGGAGGGCAGTTGGGGCTGCGAGTGGCTCTGCAGGGGCCTGGGAGGAAGTGGGGTGCAGGGCAGCATGCCCTGGCAGGGCGGTGTGAGGGCGCTCAGTGACCTGCCTCCCTCCACCCTGTAGTCAGCGGGGACGCACTGCTGCTCATAGCCCAGCTGCTCAAGGTCTTCGTCGTAGGTGAGCCTGGCCTGGTCCCACGGCTCCCCTTTGCCCACACGTGTCGCCTGGCCCATGCCATCTGAGGCCTCCTGAGCTGCTGGGCTGAGGCCCGGGGGTTGGGGTCACGGCCCCAGCCTGGCCGCTCACTTCCCTCTGGTCCCGGCAGAGGCCACCGTCCGCAGCATCAGGCAGGCCCAGGCAGAGGACCTGCCATGTGTGGACGTGGAGCAGCTGGAGAAGGTGCTGCCGCAGCTGGTAGGTGGCCCAGAAGGGCGTCTGCTTCCTGTCCCCAAGCAGGCCGAGCCGAGGGCCGGGCGGGCTGACCCCCAGGCTGAGCGCTCTCCCCCCACAGCTTCTGGACTTCTAGGCGCCCACCGCAGAGGCCACCTGTCCGGCTCCGACCCACCCCAGCACCCGTGTCTGTGGCCTCCGGCTCAGACAGGAAGGGCTGCTGCTCCGAGATGCTCACGGCCTGGCTGCAGCTCTGGGGCCGCTGTGCGGGGACCAGGCTGTGGCGGGCAGAAGCGGGACCTTCCTCAGCTGACAGCGGCTGCACAGTCCTGCATGACATCAGAGCTGGTGCCCCTCCTCCCATACGCTGCTCCCCTGTAAACCTGTTCTCACAGCAACGGCAATAAATCAGGCCCTTCTCCCAGGCAGAGCCTCCAGTCAGGTGTACAGCCCCCAAGCCTACCCCTCCATCCTGCCGCAGAGGCGCGGGGCCGACACCCCAACCTCACCCCCCCACCCCCCCTTAACTCTGAAAGCTGCGTCCACAGTGCCCAGGACGGGAACACCCAAAGGGCTCGGTCCAGTGATTAGGGGCTGGGGCAGAGCTACCCGCTCCACCAGGACCTGCCCCCCTCCTGGCCCTCCACCCCGCACTTGGCCTGCTGGTCCCGTCCTGACTCCTCCCAGCCTCCGCTCCTCCATCCTCTCCCAGCACCTCGGCAGTCTGGGAGCACATGGGAGCGCCTAAACTTGAGGGTCAGTGCCGGGGGGTGGTGTGGGGGGGAGCTCCAGGCCAGGCTGCCAGCCCACCCTAGGGTGCCAGGGCAAGGTGCCGGCCTGTGCCCACAGGCCAGGCCTGGAGGCAGGGATGGACGATGGCAATGAAGCAGAGCCACGATGAGAACAGGCCCAGCAAAGGGACTGGCACGCCGAGGGCCAGCCAGGCTGCGCTGCCCGGTCCCAGGCTGGAGGCCGTGCCCGGGAGCCTGGAAGGTGGGAGGCGGCTGGGCAGGGCTGCGGCCCTTTCTGAGAAGGAACAGGGTCTCAGGAGATGCTCAGTCTTTATTGGCACTCAGGTGAGGAGGAGGTCCTGTCCCCGGCGATGGGCACTCCGGCTGGCGGCTCACCTCTTGCTGGCTGCAATGCAACGTGTGACCTGGAGCCCGACTCCCGCCCGGCCGCCCTCCCGGCCCAGCCCGGCCGGCCGGCTGCCCTCGGGTACCTGGCAGCTTTAGCCATTTGGGCACCTTGCCCAGGTCCCTCCTCAGGGGCTGGACTGCCCCAGGGCTGGGCTCAGGGGGCGCCCTGGCACCCTCCTCGGCAGCTGCCTCCGACTCGAGGGGCACGGGGTCAGGGGCTGGCAGCGGGGACGGGGTCACGGAGGTCCTGGACATGCACCTGCAGGAGGAGGCCATGGCACAGGTGGTGAGCCTGCGGCGGCCCTCCCACCCGGGCACCGCCAGCGCCGGGCTCTCACCTGGTCACCAGCACGTCGGCTGCCGATGGGGAGACAGTGTGTTCCAGCAGCTTGGGCTCCAGATAGAGACCTGCAGGCGGCAGCACCTCAGGCCACGCGGGGGGGCCAGGGCTGGGGGGCTGCCCCGGAGCCGGGGGGGGGGGGGAGGGATCAGGCCACAGGTCTCCCTTCTAGGCCCAAAACAGGCCCTGCTCCGCACCCACTCACCTGCTGCCTCCTCGGCCCCGAAGTGCACCAGGGCGGCCGGGAAGAGGTTTGCCTGCAGGAAGGGCAGAGGGAGCTCAGGGGCCAGGCGGGCACTGAGGGTGGAGGGACGGCCCCGGAGCCTGGACAGCCTGCACCTGCCCTCACTGACTGTCCCGAGGGCCATGGCTGCGGTCCCACAGCTGACCCAGGGCAGTGCCCCCACCAAGCCGTGGCCTCGGAGCAGGGGCCGTCTTCCCTGCGCCCCCAGCTCCGCTCCGCACTTGGGGGTGAGGTGGGTTACAGACAAGGACCGCGACATTGGGAAACCCCGTGACGCCTGGGTCAGAGCTCTGGGGCTGAAGCTGGAGGTGGCCAAGGAATGGAGGGGTGTGGCAGGACAGACCGCCCTCCCAGCAAGGCCAGACCCGGCTCAGTGGAGCCGCCAGGTGCTGGGACTCCCCTTAGCACCCACGTGGCAGCATCTTCCTATTTCCCGGGCCGCCCGCCAAGCCCACCTGGTGGGCGGGGCCATCTGGGGCCACGGTCTTACAGCCGGAAGGGCCTCCCCTCCCACCTGGCCGAAGCCCCGCCCACTGGTCTGTGTCTGGGATCCTGACAAACAGGTGCCAGCAGACCAGACACCAGGGGAAGCCTGCCACACGGAGGGCTCCCAGGCGCAGGGGCTTCGCACCCAGAGGTGAGGCCTGGGGCCCGGGCGGGGGGCCCAGGGCAGCCAGCGGGGAGGCAGGGGCTCCGGCCCAGGAAGCACGTTTGCTGGGGGTGTTGGGGGTCGTTGCGCCCACTGACTGCACCCCCACAGCCCGGCCGCTCCTAGACAGTCCTGGTCCAGCAGCCAGGCGGGCAGCTGGGCCGCCCCCCCCCCCCCCCACGCGGTCACCCCCGGAACACGGGCAGGCCCCAGCAGCTCGGGCAGCAGCCAGCGTGCGGCCTGCCAGGGACATGGGAGCCGCGGCTTCCGCACTGCCCCCCCCCCAAGGGGGGTGGAGGCTCCTGCCGAGCTGCCAGCTCTGATCCGGGCAGGGCCGCCCCGGAGGCCGCGCCAGGGCCCGCGGGTGACAGATGAAAGGAGACGGCTGCTGGTAGTTGGGGTCAGTCACAGAAACGAGGCCGCGAGGGCGGGCGCACCAGGGCTCCTAACGGGGTTGGTCCCCTCCCAAAGCACCTTCCAATCCGGTGCATCAACAGGCTGCGGGAGGGGGCAGGCTGTTGGGGGGCGGGCGGGCGGGTGAGCACCCTACTTCAGCTCCTGGGCTGCCCCCCCACCGTGACTCCGTTCCTGGTGAGCGGCCAGCTCCGCCCCGTCTTGTCCCCTCTCCCTGCGACCCAGCGGCAGCCCCAGCTCAGCCCTCGCAGGCCTGCGGGCCACTTAACGAGGGCTGGCCTCTGTTAGTAATTAAAATATCTGAGGCCGCTTTGAAGAGGAAACCATTAGGCCGGCTGGGGAGGCCCCGGGCTGCCCTCCCTTGAGGACAGGACATTCCTCCTGCTCTGGAGGCGGCCCAGCAGGCGCTGGGTCAACACTGCTCACCCTCCAGGAGCAGCCAGGGGGGCCCAGGGCAGCCAGCGGGGAGGCCGGCCGAGAAGGCAGGCAGGGAGCAGGCAGGCAGCAGGCCACCTGCAGTGAGTGCTCTGACGCTTGACCTCAGGACCTGTCCCAGCTGCCCTGCCTGTGGGCCCTATCCACCCAGACCCAGGGCAGGAACCCGCAGCCAAAGGGCCCCAGGGCAGCAGCGGAGGAGGCAGGAAGCAAGCACAAGGCCAACGATAGAGACTCTGCGTCTACCTCCCCCTCTCCTTGTCCTGACCTCAGGGAGACCGCCCCTGACCTTGGCCTTGACCTGCAGAGTCCTCCCACCAAGCCAGCAGCCAGTACCTGAAAGAGGGTCAGCGTGTGGTCCTCCAGGATGGTTTTTGGAGGAGTGATGACTGGGGAGAGAATGTGCGGTGAGGAAGGCCCACCCGCTCACCCACCCCTCGCCCCTCGCCCTCGCCCTCGCCCCTCCCCAGGGAAGCCTGGCTGGAGGGCCGGCAGCCTTGGGGGGGCTGTCCCAGAAGAACCCTCAGTCCACAGCCTCTGCCCACTTCTCTGCTGCAGCAAAAACCCTGGTGAGGGGCTCGGGTGGGGGAGTGACGGGGAGCCCCCTGCCAGGACCCCAGCCCTCGGCCCATCACCGCTCGGCCCGGGAGCCGGCTGACAGCGGCGCTGTCCGTGGGTGGCGGGAGCAGTACTCACACAGGTGGAAGGGCAGCTCAGGGTCCCCCAGGTGGCTCCTCACAAAGTCCCGCAGGTCCCCCACTGAGGAGGAAGGGGGGTGAGCGGCCCCAGCAGACACACCCCAATGCTGGCCCCGGTGGGATGCGACAGCCGGCTGCACCAAGCTGCCCCCCATCCTGGGCAGCCACTTCCTGGTCCTGGCACTCAGGACACTGATCCGAGCCGGGGCTGGGAAGTCGGCCTTTTCCTTCCCCGGAACCAGGACCCTCAGCTGGCCAGGCAGGCCCGCCTGGCCCCGCCCCGCCCGCCCCGCCCCGCCCCCAACAGCCTCCAGGAGCCTGGGCCCCGGCCCGCTGTGGGGCGGGAGCTCCGTGGCCCTCTGTCCAGAATGGGCGCGGGGGGCCAGGCGCACCCAGCACGCTCTGCGAGCCCAGAGCCCGCTGCCTGCCCCCTCCAGCCCCGTCCCTGAGCACAGGCCTGGCGGCCAGGCCACGGCCACAGCCACGGCCACGGCCACAGCCACGGCCACAGCGGGGAGCGTCTGGGCCAGGCCCTACCTGTCTCGCTGGGGCGGAAGAAGCCCTGCAGGATGTAGCGGTCGGGGAACAGCACCCTCAGCACGACCTGGCCGGACAGGCCGCACGGTCAGAACGGGAGCCCTGCCCGGCAGGAGGCAGCTGCACCCCTGGCCCACAGCGACAGGACCCCACGGGGCAGACCCCGGGACCGGGGCAGGTGGAGGTGCCAGCCGCCGTGTGCCGCCCCCGCCCCGTGCACAGACTCTGTTTCCATCCTGAAGCCGGCCGCTGCTGAGAGCCAGGCTGGGAGCACGCACAGCGGCCTGTGCACCAGCCCAGGCGCTGCTCAGCCACCTGAGCCCGCCGGCCGCCCTCACCTTAGGGTATCGCTCCAGCTTCTCCTTCATCTGGGCCTCCCTGAAGGCCTTCGTCACTAGGGGTGCCTCTTCCAGGCGCTTCCTGTGGGGGGGGGCGGGTGAGGGTCCGGTCTCCACCAGAGAGGGGCCCCCCCCGGCTGGATGACAGGCCCCCCCACCTCGGGGGTGGATGACAGGCCCCCAGGTGTGGCCGGCGGGGGGCGGGGGCCGGCGGGGGGCGGGGGCCGCGGTGGGAAGCGGTGGGAAGCAGGAGGCGGCGGCACACCCACCGCTCGCTCTTGAGCTGGGCCAGGCGCCTCCGCACGTCGTCCACCGTCACCTCGAAGAACTCGTCGGGCAGCTCGGCCGGCCAGGCCTGCAGCAGCTCCCCCAGGTCCGGGTGGCACACCACGGGGTCCCGGTCCACCGGCTGCGGGCACACACGCTGTGCCCATGCCAAGCCCGGCCCCCAGCCTGGGCCAGGCCCCTCGCTCACTTCCTGGGGCGCAGTGCCCTGGTCCAGACCACGTCGGGGCTCCGAGGGAGGAGCAGGGGAAGCGGCAGCCCCCAAATTAGAGGTTTGGCAAAACCTGGCACCGCTGCCCACAGCGCTGCCCCCTGCCCTCCCCAGGGGAGCAGCCTGGCGTTCCTGCCCACCGCGCGACAGGAAGGGACAGCGCCACCCTAATTGGCAGAAGGTCGATGGAAATTACAAGGCAGCCGCTCTGCGTGTGGCGCTCCGGGGGCTAATTGCAGCGAGCGTGGGGCACCTTGGGGCGCGGAGGCCGCCGGGGCGCTGGCGGCGGGTGTCCAGCCAGGCCCCGTCCTCCACAGAAGGGCCGCCAGGAAGCTGCCCTCTGCTCCTGCCGCCCCCACGCCCCCCCAGCTTGGTGTCCCCCTCCTGTTTCCCACCGGGGACCAGCCTGTCTGATCGTCCCTCCCCATGGCCCGGCCTGGCCACAGCCCCGGCTCAGCCAGACCCCAGGCCTCGGGGTTCGGGTGACAGGTGCCCCCCGCAGCGCAGGCCGACGGCACCGGCCGGTGGGCCCTGCCCTCCTGGAAGGGGAGCGGCCGCAGGGAGCCCGCTGGCCCGAGGCCGAGGCCAGGAAGGGCAGCCCAGCCCGGAGGTGGGGGGCCGAGGCTCCGGGGAGCTGCCCCTTCAAAGCCACAGCCTTCCTGCAGCGCCGCGGGCTCTCTGCGCCAGAGCTTTTTATAACGAGATGCCAGGCGCCGGCCGCCCCCCACAGCCAGGCGCCTGCATTCCTGAGGGGCTGCTGCTCCCAGGGGAGGCGGGCAGGACGGGAGCCGAGCGGAGCCGCCGGGCACGGCCAGGACGGGCCTCCGGCGGAAAGTCTGGCGCAGCCTCACCCTCAGCGCAGCAGCGGGTGGCGGAGCCCTGCAGGGGGTCCTGATCGGCACACATGGTGGAGCCGCCCAGAGAGCACGTGGCCCCCACCTGCTCCTGCGGCCGCTGGGCCCGGGCGGGCTCCCCCGCGCCGGCTCCCCGCCCGGCTCCCCGCCCCGGCCAAGGGGAGAGGCTCGGGCCGGCTGAGAGGGGCCAAGATGAACCCAGCGACCCCTGAACAACAGAGACCTCCCCGGCCCGAGCCCGCCGGTCACTACGCTGCTGGGGCCCGCGGGGGCGGACGTGGCCGGGGCCCCGGAGGAGGGACGGGAGCGTCGCCCGGCGACAGGCCTGTGGAGGGGGTCGGTGACACCGCCAGCTGCCGGGCCGGCCTTCAGAGTCCCTGCCCCACAGGACGGCCCGGAGGGGACGGAGGGAGCGAGGGGACAGCACTGCCGTGGGGCCACGTGTCCAACAGGCCAGGCGTCGAGGGACGGGGGAGCCGGCCCGGCGTGGACCGGCTCCAGCAGCCGCCACTCGAGCAGAACCCCGGGGCTGGGGCGGGCCCGCACGGCGGAGGCTTCCTTTTCTGGCAGTGGCTTCCCAGGACGTGCTGGCACTCGGCGGGGCGGCAGAGGACAAGTGGGGGGACCCGGCCAGACCCCGTTTCCTCGGGGGCTCCCCTCCCCCGCGGGCTGGGCGGGCGGGACGCGAGGCGCTTCCCCGTGAGGCTTGGAGCTGAGCTGAGTCCCTATCGAGGGGCAGGCCGCACCCTGAGTTACTCCCGCCAGCCGCCCCAGAGGCAGGGAGGACCCCAATCCGGGCGGGCCGAAGCCTGGTCCTCAGTCCCGGAAGCACTGGGCCCACCGACCTTTTGGAGCAAAAACCCCAGTTTTCTAAGGAGAAGCGTCCAGCCAGGCCATGCGGCTCAGGGCTGAGCGTTGCCCTGTGAACCACGAGGTCAGGGTTCGGTCCCGGCCAGGGCACAGGGCCAGGGCACAGGACGGCCTCACACCAGGACCCCCAGCACCCGCAGGAGGCCGGAGGCCACACCTGCCGCACGCCTGTGGCCGGGGTGGGGCCGGGCTGGGCACCCACACACCCTGGCGCCCCGCAGGGACCGCAGGGGACAGGCAGGGGGCTGGCTCCTGGGGGACGTCCTGGGTAGGCGCCCCGCAGGCCGAGAGGAGGGGAGCCGGGGGCGGGCGGCCCTGAGGCGGCGAGGTGCGGAGGCGGAGGGTGACGGGCGCAGGGAGCCACGTCAGCCCGTCCTGCCGGGAGCAGCACTTTGATCAGCCCGTGCCAGCTGTGGGCCCGCTGGGACGCTGCCCCGTGCGAGCGCGCGGAGGGCGGCCGGCCGGGAAGGACTTCAAAGGCCAGGGGCCCAGCAGCTCCCGCCCGTCCGATGGCCAGTAAACTACCTCTAATAATTAATGTGTGACATCAAAGCCGGAGCCGCGGTCTGTAAACCATCCCGCCTCGGAGGGCCGCCTGTCTCCGACTATCTGAGCCCAGAGCCGCACGGGGGAGCATTAGTGGGGCCGGGCTTCTCATCGCCGAGCGCACCTTTGAAGTTCCCCCCAAGTTCTGTTTGTTCCCTCCCCTCCCCCAACTGCAAGGGACACAAAGCAGACACCATGTGGCCGCGGCCCCTGGAGTGCGGTTGTCAGTGACGGAGGCACGAGACGGGCGGGACGCCCCACCGACAGCTGCCGGGGCTCCGAGATCAAAGGAGCTGCTGGCGGCCAGGCGCCCGCCCGGGGCCGGGCAGGCAGGGGGCGCAGGGATCCTGGCCGGTCAGCACCCCTGCGGGCAGCACAAGCCCACGCCACCCCTGGGTGCCCCTGGGACCCTCAGCAGGTTCCCTGAGCACAGAGAGCCAGGCCCCTCCACGCAGCCCCGGAGGGAGCAGCCAGTCCCGGCCCCCAACCCAGGGTCCCCCGAAGGCTCAGGCTCAGAGGGGGCCCCCAGCACCAGCTCAACCCGCCACATGGGCCTGGTTCAGCCACCGATTCTGGGCCCAGTGCCACAGGGTGAGGCTGGGGATGGTACTGGTTCTAACGCGGCCCCGACATCAGCCACTGCCCCCACCACCGGGTAGACATCCCTGAGCTCAGATGGGCTGGCCCTGCCCTCCCCGTCCGCTCGCAGAACCACGCAGTGTGGGAGCAGGAGGGAATCTTGCCACCTACCCTCTGCAGGACCCGGCTCCATTCCACGTCCACACCCCCCTGCCCCCCGGCTCCCCGGCTCGGCCTGGAGGCAGGACTGGGCCCCAGGGAGACGGGCCAGGCCTCCAGCACCACGGCCTCCAGTCCCTTCGCTCACGACACACAAGACGGAGCGGAACCCGGCCTGGCCAGCCCATGGGAGGGGAGAGGGCTCCTGCCGACCGGCCCGAACCCCGGAATGAGGACGGCCCGGCCCCATGGCCGCCCGGCCTCACCACGTGTCTGCACCAGGAGGACAGGCGTGTTCCCGTGTAGAAAAGCAGTTTGTAGGAACCAGTGCGTCCTGGGGCAGCCCAGACCCAAGCCGCCGCCCTGCCAGCACTGCCGCCTGGCAGAGGCGCCGCCGGACAGGAGTGCCGAGCCCAGGCCAAGGGCCAGGGGAGGCAGGGGGTGCGGGCAGAGTTTGTGGAAACCTGTCGAACCCCATCTGAAAGGGGCCGCCAAGAAGCCGGTCCAGACCAACCAAACCAGCAGCCCTTCGTGGGGAAGGCCCAGCGAGCCCGCCCCCGCGGGCCGGTCCCGCCGGCGCCCGCCCCGCTTACCGGCTCAGGCTCCGGCGGGGGCCGCGACTTCTTGGGCTTGGAGGGGCCTCCGGGGCTGGAGAAGGACTTGGGCAGCTTGGCGGCCGGGGAGGTCAGGCACCGCGAGGACCCGCAGGGGCCGCCCAGGCGCTGCCCGCCGCCTGAGAAGGGCACGAAGGCGGGCGGCGTGGGCTCCTCCGAGATGTGCTTGGCCGGGGGGTCCTCAGCGCGGCCGGCCGCCGAGGGGCCCGCCTCGTCCCGGCGGCTCACGTCGCCCTGGCTGAGCCCCCCTGAGGCCACGGGGAGCAGCGGGCTGCCGGCGGCCTGCTCGGCCGACAGCGAGGGGGTGGGGCTGGCCGGGCCCCTGCTCCGGGAGCCCCCGGGCTCCTGCGTGGCGGCCGAGTCGCATGACCTCATGGCAAACCTGGGACCAGAGAGAGGGACGCCCACGCGTCTCAGCACCTGGCCTCGCTGCCCCGCCCCACGCAGTGGCCTCGGGCACGTGTCCCTCATGTTCCCACCTTCCCGCTTTCACCTGATGATGGCGCTGCCCCCGGTGAGGCCCAGGGACAGCAGCGTCGTGCTCTGCAAGGCGGCTCTCCCGGTCACCTGCAAGGAGACAGGACAGTGGCCAGGCTGGGCCTGGGGAAGGCACCGAGGCCTGCCCACTGCCTGACCCACCTACCCACCACCCAGCCTGGCCACTGCCTGACGCCACGGCTCCCAGCCAGCCCGGGGCTGAGGCCCAGGCACCCGCTCCCCAGCTGCACCCGAGCATCTGCTCCCAGGCCTGGGTCTGTCCCCAGCCCGAGGCCTGGGAGAGCAACACTGGCCACATGACCGGCCCTCTGAGGGCTGCAATGACCATGACGGCCCTCACTGGGGCCCAGGTGTCCACCCCCCAGACCCCTCCCCTCACAGCCCAGAACCCCTTCCTCACGAGCGTCCCCCCCCATGGCCTCTTGGGCCCTCGGGGACAGTGGCCACGCCGGGCCAGGAGAGGGCCCTCAGCCAGGATCCAACAAAAGGCCCCTTGAGCCAGGGACCGAGCGCCAGGAGGGTCCCGCCGTGGCAGGCGGGGGGCGGGCAGGGCCTCTGCCAGCTGGGCCCCTCCGCCCTGCGCTCAGTTTTGGAAAAGATCAAAACGGAGCAAAGCAAATATTTATTAAAATGAAACCACTTTTGTGACTCTCGGGCTTTGGAGAAGCTGAGAAAACAAACAGGGCGTTGGAGTCTGGGAGTGCCGGCCGTGGTCAGTTCCTGTGGAGCGGCCCCTTTTCCAGGGAACACTGGGGCCTTCAGAGCTCCTCGGCACTTTGAAGGCAGAGGCAGAGGCAGAGGCAGAGGCAGAGGCAGAGGCAGAGGCAGAGGCAGAGGGAGAGGGAGAGGGAGAGGCAGAAGGAGAGGGAGAGGGAGAGGCAGAGGCAGAGGGAGAGGGAGAGGGAGAGGCAGAGGGAGAGGGAGAGGCAGAGGCAGAGGCAGAGGCAGAGGCAGAGGCAGAGGCAGAGGCAGAGGCAGAGGGAGAGGGAGAGGGAGAGGGAGAGGGAGAGGCAGAGGCAGAGGGAGAGGGAGAGGCAGAGGGAGAGGGAGAGGCAGAGGCAGAGGCAGAGGCAGAGGGAGAGGCAGAGGCAGAGGCAGAGGGAGAGGCAGAGGCAGAGGCAGAGGGAGAGGGAGAGGCAGAGGGAGAGGGAGAGGCAGAGGCAGAGGCAGAGGGAGAGGGAGAGGCAGAGGCAGAGGCAGAGGCAGAGGCAGAGGCAGAGGCAGAGGGAGAGGGAGAGGGAGAGGGAGAGGGAGAGGCAGAGGCAGAGGGAGAGGGAGAGGGAGAGGCAGAGGCAGAGGCAGAGGCAGAGGCAGAGGCAGAGGGAGAGGGAGAGGGAGAGGGAGAGGGAGAGGGAGAGGCAGAGGCAGAGGCAGAGGCAGAGGGGGGCTTCCAGGCTGGAAACCAGGCTGGGCCGCGCGGCGGCGGGAGCCGGCCAGGCGGGTGGGGCCGCAGTCCTACCTCACCCCTCATGTACACGCAGACCGGGCTGGCCTCCCACGGCTGCTCCAGACAAGCCCTGCAGGAGGGAAGGACATCAGAGCCAGCCGCTGGCACGGGACCAGTGCTCTCAGGCAGGCACCCCGGGAGCCCCAGAGCCCCCCCAGAGGCCACCCAGGTTCCCCAGGAAGATGGCAGTGGGCACCGCCCACCCCGACTGGCCACCAACATCCTCTCCCTCACGACCGAGACCCCGAGGACAGAGCAGCCCGGAAGCAGGTTGGGCGTGTGTGCAGCCGCCCCCTCACATGCCCACACACCTGCACGTACCCAACGACGCCATCTCTCACCCCTGGGCCCGCAGCACCCCCCCGGGGCCCACAGCACCCCCCCCCGGCCCGCAGCACCCCCCCCGGCCCGCAGCACCCCCCCCCCGGCCCGCAGCACCCCCCCCCCCGGCCCGCAGCACCCCCCCGGCCCGCAGCACCCCCCCGGCCCGCAGCACCCCCCCGGCCCGCAGCACCCCCCCGGCCCGCAGCACCCCCCCCCGGCCCGCAGCACCCCCCCGGGGCCCACAGCACCCCCCCCCCGGGGCCCGCAGCACCCCCCCGGGGCCCACAGCACCCCCCCCCCCGGGGCCCGCAGCACCCCCCCGGCCCGCAGCACCCCCCCCCGGCCCGCAGCACCCCCCCGGGGCCCACAGCACCCCCCCCCCCGGGGCCCGCAGCACCCCCCCGGGGCCCACAGCACCCCCCCCCCCGGGGCCCGCAGCACCCCCCCGGCCCGCAGCACCCCCCCGGCCCGCAGCACCCCCCCCGGCCCGCAGCACCCGACCCCCCTGGGCCCGCAGCACAGAGTCAGAGACAGGGGCAGAGGGACAGGGGCAGAGGGAGAGGGAGAGAGAGAGAGAGAGAGGCAGAGGCAGAGGCAGAGGCAGAGGGGGGCTTCCAGGCTGGAAACCAGGCTGGGCCGCAGCACCCCCCCCCCGGCCCGCAGCACCCCCCCAGCCCACAGCACCCAACCCCCCTGGGCCCGCAGCACACACCCCCCCCGGCCCCCAGCACCCCCGGCCCCCAGCATCCCCGGCCCCCAGCCCCCAGCACCCCAGGCCCCCAGCCCCCAGCACCCCCGGCCCCCAGCACCCTGGCCACGCACAGGCCTGGAGGGACGGGGGAGGGGAGGGGTGTCCACTCCTGCACTTCCTGACATGTAACCGCCCCCGGCCCCCTCCCCCAGGGCAGCCCGAGGCCGGGCCAGAGCAGCCTGTGACCTCAGGGTCACTTCTCGACCTCGGGGCTCACTCGCCAGGGACGTGCTGGGACGGAGAACATGGAGCTGAACTGGGCCCCTCTGGGCCCAAGCAGCAGGTCCCCGGCTGCTGCACACGCCCCGTGCACACGCGGGACGAGACGCGATGGGCCCTCTGTGTGGCTCTGGCGTGGGCGCTGCCCGTGTCTCACTTGCTTTTAGCTTCTACATGTGTGTGCTGCCCAGGCCAAGACCCACCCCCAGAGCCAGCTGTGTGGCCTCTGAGGTGCAGCCCTGCCCCTGCCTGGGCACCACCAGCCCCCGCACCCTCCGGGTCCCTGCAGGAAGGGGACGACCCGAGCTGAGAGCCTGGTCAGGGCACCCCAGCCTGGGCCCAACCCGGTGACCGGCCTCGGAACGCACAGGCCCCAGTGCCAGCGCAGCCGTCCCCAGGGACCCAGCACCAGCCCAGCGGGACCAGATCACAGCGCGAGGGAGGCCCCCTCGGCACAGCCTCCGACATCAAACGCCCGCCCGGCTTTGATGTGCTTCCTCAGAGGGATCGGGTTCGAGTGGATCTGAGGGCGACGCCTGTAAACACGCGAGGCGGGCGGCACAATCACTTCCAGACCTTCCCGCCCGTTAGCAGCCGCTCGCTCCGCAGGACAGGGACGTTCCAGCTCGGGAGCCGCCCTCACACCCTCCGCGTCCCAGCCTCTGTCTCCGGCTGAGCCGTCGGAGCGCCCCCGAGGCCTGGGCACAGGCCCAGCAGACGGCGTCGTGTGGCGCTCCCGGGGTGCCCCTGCCCCCTCCCCAGACGGCACCCCGCGCGGTGGGTGGGCCCGCCTGTGCTCCCCCAGAGCACCCGCCCACAGGCGTGGGCCATCCCTCGCCGATGGGACCCCCGGTGGGGAGCCCTGTCCGTCACCGTTTGGACTGAACAAGCTGCGCTGGCACCGAGTCCCCACGCGGGAACCAGAACCCCCCAAACCCAGAGCCGCCTTCAGGCTCGGAGGGCGCCTGCCGCCACGGAGGCCCCTCTCTGGAGACTCCCGCCGCCACCACACGCAGCCCCGCGGAGACGGAGAGCCGAGGCTGAGGGCGCAGGAGGCGCGGACGGAGACGGACAGGCGAGAAGCAGCTCTCTCCCCAGGATCGGAGGGGCTGCGGGAGCTGGGGGGGCGCCCCGGCACCCGCCTCTGCCGCCTGCAGGCTCCGGGATGGCACACCACCCCCCGCAGGGGGAGCAGGCAGGCCTCCCCGGGACACTCAGTGCCTGGGGGACCCTCGGGGGAGGCGGGCGGACGAGCAGAGGGCCCAGGCCTTGGGCAGATGCAGCCGGGGCTGGCGGCTCGGAGCCCGGGGGAGGCCGGCCGGCACAGACACCCGGCAAGTGGGGGCCTGGCCAGTCCAGGTGCAGGCAGTGCCGTCCGAGGCAGCGACCAGCCCGGGGGCCCTGAGCTCGCCCGGTGGCGGGCGCTCCCGTAAGACTCCTCCTGCCACAAAGACCCCAGGGCCCCTCACTCTTCCTGCGGGCACAGCCACAGGGAAATGTTCTGGGCGTACTGAGTCAAGTCCATCGGATTCCTAAAATCAACTGCCCGTGCTCTTGCTCTCCTTTGATGTGGCTGACCGGAATTCCTGACCACCTCTCGGCACGCACATGTGGCCCACGTGGTGTGTCATGTGGTTACTGAGTGGCCCCAACTCCCTGATGCCCATGCAGAGGCCTTGCCCGAGCCACGTGGCCTGGTGCCCACTCACCCCCCAGGCTCCGCCGAGACTGCACGCCACCTGCCCTGGGGCTGCCTCTTCCCAAGGACCACGTGACCGGGCGTGCGGGGAGCTGGCCCTGCCCCGCCAGCGAGGTCCTGCAGCCCAGGAGCCACCGGCTCCTGCCCCGCCCCCGCGTGGCCCCAGCCAATCAGGCCCCGGCCTGTCCCATGGGCACAGGGAGCTGCTGACTCGTGGGGGTGCCCTCACCGCCGGCCCAGCAGCTCTGCCTCTGGAACCCCCTCAGGAGGAACGGGCGCACAGGCCTCCGGCCGGCTGCGCTGTCAGGATGGGACTGGTGGCTGGTGCATGAGCCGCCACGCCCTGGGCCTGCGCCGTGTGGCGATGGCGCCGAAGGGATCGCTAAGGAGACACGTGATCCACTCATTCGCAACCAAGAAAGGGCGCTGGCGACTTGGGGCACAGCCCCCTGTGTTACGGACGGACAGACTCCCACGGGCTGCGGGGCCCCCTGCCATCACCCCTTTCCTGCAGAGCGGTCGCCACCGTCCCCGCGGACCGACACCTTCAGCTCAGCCAGAAGCGACCCGCCCCGGCCGGTGACCTGACCGTCCCCAGGGCCCGCAGGGCCTCACGGGTCCCTCCCCCTGCACCCAGGGACCGCTGTCCCCCACAGGGGCTCCCGCCTGCGCCTTTCCCACGGAGGCCCCGCTTCTCTCCAGCTTGCACCCCGGTGCCCGAGCTCCCGGCCCATCAGCTGGTCCCCACACGTGGAGCCCGTGCCCTGCCTCTGCCGCCTCCTCTGTGGGTCCCTCCCCCTGCCGGGGAGCTGCACAGGGGACAGACTCCCATCACAGAGGCCAGCTTAAAGGGGCAGAAACCGACACACGCCCATCATCATCACCTTTCTCTTTAAACGTGACCCACGCCCAGCCGTGTGGCTCGGGGTTGAACATCTACCTCTGAACCAGGAGGTCACGGTTCGACTCCCGGTCAGGGCACTTGCCCGGGCTGTGGGCTTGTTCCCAGATCACTGATGTTTCTATCTCCCCTCCCTCTTCCTTCCTCTCTGAACACGATCAGAAATGAACCAACACCACCTCTTTCCTGGGGAGCACCGGCCAGCACCCCTCCCCTCCCTGCACGGGGCCTCCGTCCCCCCGAAGGCGCAGAGCGCCCCCCGCAGCGCAGGCCCAGCGGGCGCTCACCTGGTCTGAGCGAAGTGGCTGAGGAGCTCCCAGAGGCTCTGGCCGGAGCAGAAGGTGCCCTGCAGCCGGGAGCCGTCGTCCAGCTGCAGCGCGATGCGGACCTGGCAGGAGGCTGAGGCTCGGGTCTGGGGTGCGGCTGCAGGGGCCCTCACGTCTCCCTGGCACACTGCCCTCGCTGTGCCCAGCTGCGGGGTGGGCGCGGCGTGGCGCAGCCATAACCCTCAGCCCGTGGTGACGTCCCGCCCCTAACCCAGCGGGGAGCGCCTTTCCGGCCCCTGCGAGGCCGCCTCGGAGCCCCCACAGCCGCCTGCGGCTGCGACAGGCCTCCTGCTCAGGTGCCACCGGCTCCCAACACAGGGAGCTGCCCGGGGGGCCACCCACCCCCAGGGGGTCAGAATCCTCTACACACACACCCTCACACTCACACTCACACACACACCCTCATTCACACACTCACACACTCACACTCACACACACTCACACCCTCATTCACACACTCTCACACTCACACTCACTCACACACTCACACACTCACACACACTCACACTCACACCCTCACACACAGACTCACACCCTCACACTCACACTCACACACACACCCTCATTCACACACTCACACACTCACACACACTCACACTCACACCCTCACACTCACACTCACACACACACCCTCATTCACACACTCTCACACTCACACTCACACACACACACACTCACACCCTCATTCACACACTCACACACTCACACTCACACACTCACACACACTCACACCCTCATTCACACACTCACACTCACACTCACTCACACACTCACTCACACACTCACACACACTCACACTCACACCCTCACACACAGACTCACACCCTCACACACACACTCACACTCACACACCCACTCACACACTCACTCACTCACACACACACGCATACACTCTCACACACACACACTCACACTCACACTCACACACTCACTCACACACTCACACTCACTCACACACTCACTCACACACTCACACACACTCACACCCTCATTCACACACTCACACACTCACACTCACACACACACTCACACTCACACCCTCACACACACACTCACACACTCACACACTCACTCACACACACACGCATACACACTCTCACACACACACTCACACACACACTCACACACACGCCTGAGGACGCCGCGGTCACGATGGCACAGGGGTGTCAGGGTCAGTCCCATGTGTGCCTGGCTCCTGGTGGCTCTGCAGAGCTGACCCAGGCCCGGCCTGCCAGCCCGCCCTCACAGCGAGGGCCTCCGGGGCTGGCCGAGCAGCGCGGCCCGGGAAGGCGGGCCCAGGGGTCTCTGAGCCTCACACACACACACCCTCACACACTGCTCTGCTTGGGGGAAGGCGGGGCCCAGGACCAGGAGGGAAGACGGTGGGTCCCGCCGCTCGGGGTCACTGAGCTCGGCGCCTCCAGGCCGTCAGGAGGGACAGGCTCCCAGCGAGATGGACCGGCAGTGAGCCCAAGAGCAGCCCCCTGCCAACCAGCACATCGGAGCGGCCCTGCCTGGCGGAGCGGACGGCGGGGTGGCCTGTGCGCCTACAGAGGGCGGGCGCGGCGCCTACCGTGTTCCTGGGCCCCTGGCGGCTGCGGGACGCGGGCACCATCTCCAGCTTGGCGTTGTTGGGCAGGTTGGCGAACCTCCACTGCAGAGAGAGGTCCAGCACGTTCCTCTGGAACCTGCAACAGACACAGCCTCACTGCGGCAGCTCTGCAGCCCCGGCCACCAGACGGGGTGTGGCCTGGGGGGTCTTCCCGGGGAAAGGGCAAGCGAGCGGACAGCTCCGGCGAGGGCGGCAGTGCAGGAAGGGGAGCCCACCGGCCAGCTCCCATCGCCCGCTTCCCGCCATCCTGGGGAGGGCCACGCCCCCTGGGACGGAGGTACCGGCTCCAGCGGACCAGCCACCACCCCCAGTTCGCCAAGCCAGGCAGAGCCTGAGTGCCCGTCGAGGTCAGTGATGCCCCGGGGCCTGGCACTCTGATCAGCAAGAGGCCGTGTGGCCCCCAGGGCGGCCAGCTCCTCAGTCCTCCCCCCGACCCCCCCACACACACACACACACAGCTCCTGGTCCCGAGGAGGCAGAGACGGAGGAGTCAGGACCGGAAGCCCCGAGGGCAGGACCGGCCCTGTGCGCCTGCGGGTCCTGCTGAGCAGCCTGGCTGCCGCCCGCTCAGCCTGTTTCACAGGAAGCATGAGAAGAGCCAGCAGGCGGCCCGACCCAGAGCAGAGCTGGGACCACAGGCGGCTCCAGGTCCAGCTTGGGTCACATGTCGGCTGTGGGCCAAAAGGAGCTGGACACAGCTCCTGCGACGCGGAGACAGACAGGACACGGCCTCACTGTGGGCAGGGATGGCGGGCGAACCCCTGGAGCTCCAGGACCCTGACCGCCCCGTCCACCGACAGAGGCATGCTCTGCCCAGGGCTGAACCCCCTCCCGTGCGGCCGGGCTGTGGAGAGACAGCAAGTCACAGGGAGAGGGAGCCCGGACCACGCTCAGCTCAGATCTGAGCTCCACTTCCCGCGGGAGCTTAGGGGGACTCGGCGCTGGGGAGGCCGCCCGAGGCAGATGGGGGGCTGAGGGCGTGAGCAGCTGGTGAGGCCCGGCTTCTCAAGGGTGAAAAGAGCAGCTCAGAGAGCCACCGCCCAGGGCTCCTTGCAGGCGGGCTGGCAGGGACAGGGCAGCTGGGCTGCGCAGAGGGAGGGAGCGGGCGGGCAGGCGGCACCCGGAGGCTGCCTTCCCTGGCGTGGCCGCGCTGGCCCTTGACCCGAGGCGTGAGGGTGCGGACGCCCATGGGGTGGAAGGCCCATGTATAAGCTGCTGACCTCCAGAATGTAACCCTGTCCCTCCAACTCCAGCGAGAATCAGTTCCAGGACCTACTGATACCCAAACGCGAAGATGCTCAAGACCCTTCCATGAAGTGGCTCAGATTAACGCAGTCTCTGTCCACAGCCGCAGGGGAGCAGGCCAGCGGTCACCAAGCAGCAGCCTCTGCCCCTGGCCCGGGCTCCGATGGTTGGAGTGTCCTGATACACCAAGGCTGTGGGTCCATCCCAGGTCAGGGCACAGCCAAGCATCAGCCAGCGAATGCACAAGCAGAACAACTCCATGCCCCCCCCCCCCATAAAAGCATTAAAGAGAGAAAAACACTGGGCACAGACAGTAGGGTGGTGGGGCCTGGGGCGGGCAGGCTGTCGGGTCAATGGGAGAGAAAAGGGGCATATGGAAAACTTCCAACACAAAGGTTTTCTTTAAGGAACTAAAAAACAGAAAACATCCACGTGGAAGTGAACCCCACGGGCAGTTCAAACCCCCGTTTTTCAGGGGGCAGCTATGCAGTCAGCAGGGGACCTCCGAAGGCCCCACCCAGGCCCCAGCCGAGGGTTCAGGAGATAGAGGAGGAAGCCGGGGGTGACCCAGCGAGGAGCAGGGGCCCTGGGACTCTCGTGGGCCGGGCAGGAGGCCAGAGCCGGGCGGCATGAGGGCCTCTCGGCTCAGTCTCCTCTGTGAAGAGCCCACGCACGACAGGGCCCCGCCAGGCCACGGAACAGGCCCTGCCACAGCGAGGACAGCCACGCTGTCAGGTCCGCCGCCTGGAACCTGCCGCAGAAGCCCACACCCATCGGAGCAGGGCCCCAATCCTTCCCTTGTGTTATTACTTTGAAATACACTTTTGTGGACGTCAGAGAGAAAGGAAGAGGGAGAGAGAGAGGCATCAGTGAGGAGAGAGAATCACGGATCCACGGCCTCCTGCACGCTCTCCACTGGGGATTGAGCCTGTCACCGGGCAGGTGCCCGACCGGGCAAACCATGACCTCCTGGTCCCTAGGCACATGCTCAACCCCGGAGCCACGCCAGCCGGCCGGGCTCTTTCCGAGCTGCAGACCCTCGAGGACAGACAGGAAGCCCCGTCTCTGGAAACCGCCCAGGCAGAGACCGCACCAGAGCTCCCCGGGCGGCCGCCGGCTTCACCGCGTGCGGGTCTCTTCCCATTTCCTCGTGGCCTCCGAGCCCCAGCAGAGCTTACAGGGCCAAACGCACGGAAACCCTGTGGCAGCGGGCTGAGTGGTGGCCCCGGGGAGGACGGGCCCCGTCCTAACCCCTGAGCGTGTGACGGCGGCCTTATTGGGAGACAGGGACCGTGCAGATGTGACGGGATTAAGGACCTTGATGCCGTCATCCTGAACCAGGGCGGGTGCCTGGGAGGGAGAGGAGAGGACGCTGGGAGAGGCCGTTTGGGGAGGAGGCAGAGATGGGAGCGATGTGACCATCAGCCAGGCGAGGCTGGAGCCACCAGAAGCTGGGACAGGCAGGCCGGGTCCTCCCCTGAACCGCAGCCTGGGGGGGGGGGGGGGGGCCTGTGAGGAGATAACCCTCCTCAGGGCGAGCACTCACTTCAGGTCATACTCGCTGGGGTTGAAGTCCTGCCGCCGGCATGTGTCCTCCAGCACCTGGGGGTAGACAGAGGCTTCAGCGCTGCCCGCTTGCTGCTGGGCAGGTGGCAGGCACAGGGGGGCAGGAGGGGGGCAGCTGAGGGTGGAGGGCACCTCTCAGAGGGCCGGGGCTCTGCTGGACAAAGCCTAGGAGGCCACAGGATGGCCCGACACTCCACAGCTCCTCGGGCCTCACCCACCAGTCCCGTTCGCTGTCCCTGTCCTCCTGGCGGGACCTGTCACCCCGGCGCCGCTGGCCTCCAAGCGGGTCCCTCTTCACCACAGACATCCTCCTACACTCACTCCAGGCCCGGCCCCACTCCCAGGGCACAGAGTCCAAGCGTGGGCGCCCCTCCCAAGGGCCAGCTCCCCACCGCCGGCTCCGGGGGGCCCTGGGCGCCTCCTCCTGTGTCCTGAGAGGCCCCCTACACGGCGGGGCCCATCCACATGTCCAATGGGATGGATTCGGGGTCCACCAGCGGCCCCCGGGGAGGGCAGCGAGTGAGTCAGCACGGCAGGTCCAGGCACAAAGGCCGGCACGCCCAGCCCCGCGGACCCCGGCGGGGACACGCCGGGAGGGGGGCGCGGGCCTGAGACCCCGCAGCCCAGACTGGGCGCCGCCCCTCCGCAGCCCGCCCCGCCCCCGCCCGCGGCCCAGCAGGGACCCCGGCACCAGGACGCGGAAGTGGGCGGGCCCTCCGCGCCAGGGGGCCGCTCATTGGCCGCCTCGGGCCCCGCCCCCGCGGCGCCCGGCGCCCCCCGCCCCCACCGCGGAGCCAACCGCAGGAGCCGCCCGGCGCGGCCCCCGCCGCCCGCCGCCGCCGCCGCCCGCCGCCGCCGCCGCACCTGCAGGAGCACGGTGCTCGGCGTCACCTTCACCGTGTGGCGCCGCCCGTTCGGGGCCAGCACCGACACCGCGGAGCCCCCGCCGCTGGCCGAAGCCGCCATGTTCCGCTCACGTGACCCGCCGCCGCTGGCGCCGCTTCAAACAACTTTATCGGCAACAGCCGGGACGCACAGCCGCGCGGCCGGGGGCGGGGCGGGGCCTGCGTGCGCTTCCGGGTACGCCCGGGCCCCGCCCCCGCGCAGCGCAGGACCCGCCCCTGGATTGGTCCCGCCCCCTGTCCTAGCCCCGCCCCCGCTCATCGGCCCCGCGTGTGGCTCTCACTCACCCACCGCCCCGCGCGCCCGCCGGCGGCTGAGCTCGCCCCGCCGAGCGGCCCCGACGCGGGAGGAGGAAGGGAAGGCCGTGCGGGACCGAGCGCGCCCGGGCCTGGCCTCCCTTCCCTCTGGGCCTCCGGGCGCGGCCCGTCTGGGGACCCGTTGGCCCTGTGACCCTGGCCCCCGTCTCTCCCCATTCTCCACGTCCCCTGTGGCCACCTCCGACCCCGGAGGTGAAGGTCAGGGGTGCGGCCCCAGCGGGGTGAGGCGGGGTGGGGGGCAGGTCAGTCTGAGCTGAGAGGCTGCACTGTCCGCGCCAGGCTCAGGCCACAGCAGCCAACCCCGCCCCCCCCCCCCCGTGGGAGGTGGGGAGAAGGGGTGTAGGGACCCCAAAGCCTCCCGGTGTGGGTCACGCAGCGCCTCCTAGGCACCTGCATGCTGACACACAGACACCCCCTGCGTTAGAGTTCCGGAGGACCATGGAGAGGATGGGGCAGCCGGCCTCCTGCCGTTCCCGCCCGCCCGGGCTCACAGAGCAAGGCCTGTGGGCGGCCGGCCCCTCCTCGCATGGCCTGGTCTTGTCCACTCTCCTGCTCACAGGGTCTCAGCGTCTGTGTGTGTCCAGCTGGGCTCAGGGGCCTCGGGGCAGATGCCCCGGGGCATTTGTGACCAGTGCCCCGTCCAGCTTTCCACCCACATCCCTCACCCATGGGGACCCCCAGCCCCTCCACACGTCAGCCCGTGGGGCTCCCCGGCCTCCTCTGCTCGGCCGGCCTTCGTGACTGCGTGCTGTTTCCTGGCGGCCTCCACCTGGGCCCGGCCTGGTCCTCCTACAGGCTGACCCGCAGAGCGGCGCCAGCACAGGGTGGGCGTCGGCAGACATCTTTCGGAGGAATGACCCTTCTCAGGGAGACAGGCAACACTGGATCCCCACAAGAGCACAGCACCTCCTGCTGCTGCAGAGCACCCGGCAGTGGGCGAGGGGTGGGGGGAGGGGCAGAGGCTGGGCAGGCCCACCTCCCCAGGCGGCCAGGCTAGGCCGGAACTGGTGAAGACCAGGCCAGGCAGGACAGGCCGGGACCCCGTGTGCCCTCTGTGAAAACAAGCCGCAGGTGCCCCGCGGGGACCTGGGGGTGCTGGGCCAGGGCAGGACCAGCCTCCCGAGGCAGGAAGCACCCGATGTTTCCTTGGGGCCCCCCTTGGACATGGCAGGAGGCCCCTCCCCTGCCCGTGGTGCGGAAGGCGGCTCCTTCCTGCGACTCGGTGCCCGTGTTCAGGGCTGCGTTCCAGGCTCCAGCTGAGGATCCAGGACTGACCTCAGCGCAGCAACGGAGGTGACGGTGGGGGCAGAGTCATCCTCGTCCGTCTGCCTGGGTGCTTGTGCGGCTCACACGTTTCTTTCCAAATGTAGTGTCTCTCTCTCACACACACACACCAGCCCAGTGGCTGTGGTCAGAGGTCATACCGCAGTTCCATTCCAGCTCAGGGCACAGGCCCGGGTTGCAGGATCCATCCCCAGGAAGGCATGTGCAGGAGGCAGCTGATCGATGTTTCTCTCTCTGTCCCTCTTCCTTCCTCTCTCTTTCTCTAAGCTCAGGAACAAACATCACTAGGAAGCTTTTAAGACAATCTGCATTCGTGTCCATAGCTGCCCTCTTGGTGACAGCCCCAAACTGAAATAAGTCCAGAGGTGCACCTGAGCCAGTCCACAGCCTGTGGTCCGGCCATCCAGCTCAGTGGCACTCCAGGGGCCTGCTCAGGGTCTGACACGCCCACACGCCCGAGATAGCTCTGTGTCCGGTCCAGCACTCCATGGACACCCTCGAACCCGGGGCCGATGCCACTGTTGGGTGGGAAGTGGCCTGTGACGAGGTGGCTGTGCAGTCATCACCATAACAATCCTGACGAGGCGATAAGCCCACGCAGGAGCTGGAATGTGATCCGGTGCCCCCACCTTGTCCCTCATCTCTGCTCCTCCACCGAGGGGCGCTCACTCCAACGTCTGGTCCCATCGGCTCCTCCCCCGCTTCCACTGGGCGTCTATCCGAGAGGTGCAGGCCACCCCGCCACCCCCCACCCCATCCCACCCCACCACAGCTCAGCACCCCCTGAAACCAGGACCCCCTGCACGATCCTGACCGGTCCCTGAGCCCACCAGCGGCCCGGCCGCCCGCGGGACAGGAACACGGCGTGCCCGCAGCCCGCGTTACAGCTCCCGTTGCCCCCAAGGGCTCTCCGGAGCCGGCTGTCCACTGGCTGGGGGGCCTGTGTTAGCTTCTCGCCACGCTGGCAGCCCCTTTCCTTGAGTGTCGTGCAGATGGACACTCCTGGGCCTGTCCCGGGGTTCACGTTGGGAGCGGTGAGCGCACAGACGGCGGCCCCCAGCAGGCCCAGGGCACCTGTCCATCCGGCCGGCGGGGATGTGAAGTCTCAGCACCTGCTTTGCCACGGTCCCTGCAGAGGAAATGAGCCAAAAGTACCATGTTTCCCAGGAACCATTTACCCACAGGCTTCCCGGTGGATGGGCCTTGCCTGAGCCCACTGGCAATTCCGCCGCTGCAAACTGGGGCTTTCCGGTGTCATCACTGCCCTCACTCAGAGCCATTGGGTGGGGGGGGGGGACTAACATGCAGAGGCTGTATCACAGGCCCGTACCCCTGAAGCCTGCCCAAGCCTATGAACCAATGTCGTCCCAATACGTTCAATTTTTAAAAAGGAAAATAAAAGCTTCCCCCTCCGTTTTAAAAAAATATGTAAGGATCGACTGCCTGGCGGGGCTCAGGGGCCAAGCGTTGCCCTATGAACCAGGAGGTCACAGCTCAATTCCCTGCTCATAAGGCACAGGCCTGATTTGAGGACTCAATCCCCCGTGGGGGGCCTGCCGGAGGCAGCCGATCCATGGTTCTCTCTCATCATTGATCTCTCTCTCTCTCTCTCTCTCTCTTCCTCACCCTTCTTCTCTGAAATCAATAAAAATATATTTTAAATTCCTAAATATTAACTTGAATTCATAGATGCTTTTTCCATCCCATTGTTCTTTTAAATGATACAGTGGGTCCAAATTCAGCCAGTGAGCCCAGCCCTCCTTTGAGCTGGTTCCTGTACTCCTTTTCCGGGGGGGGGGGGTGTTTAAAAAATATTTGTATTGATTTCAGAGAGGAAGGGGGAGAGGGAGAGAAAGATTGAAACATCCATGGTGAGAGAGAATCACAGATCGGCTGCCTCCTGCACATCCCCCACTGGGGATCCAGCCCACAACCCCAGGCACATGCCCTTGATCAGAATGGAACCTGGGACCCTCCAGTCTATAGGCCAGCGCTCTACCCACTGAGCCACACCAACCAGGACTGGGGTGTGGGCGTGCATGTTATTTCAAACTTGGAAGAAAGGCTCAGGAGCAGCCAGAAGCTCCCCGTGCGTCTCGGACTGACCGAGGCTGCCCACCGGCTGCCCCAGCTGCTCCTCGGTCTCCGGCTCCACACACGTGTCCCGTGGTTCTGAACCGTTTGAGAGTAACGGACACGTGTGCCGTGGCCTGTAAGCGCTTCCGTGTGTTTCTCAAGAGCACGGCCCGCTCCCACCCAGCCTCCACGCCGCCGCACACACTGGGCAGCCGGTGGCCATCGCACGCTCGGCTCCCCCCGCACCCCCCCTCCCTGCGTCCCCGGAAGAGTGTTTTCCTGTGAGTCTGAGTCAAACTCCGACACCGCCGGGACAGCACCCTCCCCACTCGCTCACGGGGAGATGGATGCTATCGGCAGCAAATAAGAGGCTGCGGGGAGCCCGAGGGCTGGCGATGGGAAAGGGCTCTGACAGTTCCAGGTTTGTTATCTCAGAGGCACAGATACCCCCCAGGTCATCCGGACATTCCAGCACCACCCCTAATCCGAACCGAACCCGGACCCCCGGCTTCCCAGGAGAGCTCTCAGCCCTGTGGGGGGGCAGGGGAAGAAGCTGCAGCCTGGGGCGGAGCTGGCTGCGTGTCACTGCCTCCCAGGTGCCTGAGGGGACCGAGCACATCCTTTCCCCCAGAGGCCTCCCACATTTCAGATCCCTATCAGGCGGATTGTATGAAATCGTCACTATTCAGCCACTTTCTCTTTGTTACAACATATTTTTATTGATCTCAGAGGGGAAGGGAGAGGAAGAGAGGGAGGAACATCAGGGATGTGAGAGAATCATGGACCTGCTGCCTCCTGCACGTCCCCTCCTGGGTACGGAGCCCGCAACCAAGGTACATGCCCTTGACGGGAATCGAGCCCGGGACCTTTCAGTCCGCAGGCCCACACTCTATCCACTGAGCCACACCAGCCAGGGCGAGATCACGCTATTTTTAAAATTGACTTTGAGAGGGAGGCCTCCACATGAGAGAGATGCAGCGCTCGGTCGCCTCCCACACAGACCCCCCCGCCCCCCGGGACCGAACCCGAGAGCTGGACCTGTGCCAGGAGCCACGGGGCCCGGCGAGAGGTCACACCCTGAGCTCACAGCGAGTTTCCATGCTGTCACCCCAACGGAAAGTAGGGCCATGGTCGCCCTGGGCCGAGGCCCCTGCTCAGCCGGAGGGTCCTCCTCTGAGGAGGGGATGGTGACTCTGGCCGGACGCTCGGACCCAGCACCCTCGCCACCCGCCCTGCGACCCGCTCGCTGGCAAGGCAGCGGCCCGGAGGGACGGGACGGACGGCCGCCTCCCTCCCTCCTCCCAGGGAGAGGCTGGCAGCTGTTCGCAGGGTCTGCTTTGAATTACGACGTGGCGTGGCCCTTTAAGAGCAGCATCTGCGCCCGCG